GCAAAAGAATGAAGCTTGACAACTACCTCACACCATACACAAAAATCAACTCAAAATGGATTAAAGAACTAGACATAAGACCTGAAACCATAAAATACATAGAAGGAAATATAGGTGAAACACTACAGGATTTGCACATCAAAGACATCTTTACAGACACATCACCCAAAGCAGTGATAGTGAAGGCAAAGATAAACAGCTGGGACTACATCAAATTAAAGAGCTTCTGCACAGCAAAAGAGACAATAACAAAAACAAAGAGAAACCCCACCAACTGGGAGAACATTTTTGCACCCAACACTAATGATAAAGGACTGATCACAAAAATCTGCAAAGAGCTGATGAGACTCAGCAACAACAAAGAAAATAATCCAGTCAAAAAATGGGCAGAAGAGCTAAAAAGAAACTTCTCTGAAGAGGAAATGCAAATGGCCAACAGACATATGAAAAAATGTTCAACATCACTTGTCATCAGGGAAATGCAAATCAAAACTACCATGAGATACTATCTCACACCAGTGAGAATGGCACATATTAAAAAAACTAGCAACAACAAATGTTGGCGAGGGTGTGGAGAAAAAGGAACTCTTCTACACTGTTGGTGGGAGTGCAAACTGGTCCAACCACTATGGAGAGCTGTGTGGAGATTTCTGGACCTACTAAACATAGAGCTTCCATATGATCCAGCAATTCCACTCCTAGGTATTTACCCAAAGGACACAGAAACATCAATTCCAAAGAACACCTGCACCCCTCTGTTTATAGCAGCACTATTTACAATAGCTAAGCTTTGGAAACAGCCCAAATGCCCAAAAATAGATGACTGGATCAAGAAGATGTGGTACATATACACCATGGAATATTACTCAGCATTCAAAAAAGATAAACACATGCAATTTGCAGCAACATGGATGGCGCTGGATGGGATTATGCTCAGCGAAATAAGCCAAAAAGAAAAAGAAAAATACCGGATGGTCTCACTCATATCAGGAATCTAGAAAACTTAAATAAGGGACCAGGAAAATGAATAACTATAAGAAAGTGAAAATCAAAATCAACAAAAAACTATGAACCAGAGACACTTTTTGGGGGGTGGGAGGGGAGGGATTGGGGTCAGAATGGGGCGTTTGCAATTGTATGGGGGAATATAAAAATAAAATTTATTGTTTAAAAAAAAAAGATAAGATATAGTTCAATGGAATACACCTACATCCAGGAGTCTGTGCACTTGTCTAATCAGTCTATTATGACAGTGTTATTGGACTTGGACAGGGAAACTTGCCTGTATGACTGTGTGGGGTCCGCTACTGGTAGCAAGGTACATTCCTGGATAAAAAACTCATTCCCTCTGCCTGTGTCTACTGGTTCTTTTCTTTTAAAAAATCATTATCATTGTCATCTTCATGGCAGTAACAAAAAATAGAATTGTGTGATACAATGACAAATTCCCAAGGTGACTTGGGAATACTGAAGAGCAAACTAAAGAAAATGAATCTATGTACCAGGAAATGGCTACGTCATAAATATCACAGGAAAGAACAGAGCTGCAGGGGTGGTTTTGGTAGAGCATGACTCAAGGCCCCTTCGCTGCAGCTGGTCTGGCACAGTGCAAGTTAAAGGAATTATAATTCAAAGGAGTCAAACACACAACCCTAAGGTTGCTTTTATTAACTCTTAACAAAAAACCAGTAATTCCTGAGGTACTAGAGCAGAAGTGGAACTAGGGAACTCAAGTAGATTAAATTAAAATTGTGACTGCTGGTATCTAGGACAGAGACACCTGGAAAGGTTAAAGCAGGGTAGAAGAATACCCAATGATCCTCTTGAGTTTTTACCTGCTATCGATCAGCAACTTTCAAGAAATAAACCACAAAGTTTGAGAGGGAAGGCATAAACACAGAGGCCAAAAGTGATGCAACTCAGTGACAAAGCTTTCTCTGTAAAGTTAAAAAGTAGGAGATGATTCAGGGGGAAAAAAGAATTAAGATATTTAACAAATTTTCTGAGTGCTCCCTATGTGACGGGGACTGATGTGTATTGGGATACTGAAGAAAGTCCTGGTTTTTGTGGCGCTTACACCCCACTGGAAGGAGATTATAAGGAACTAATACCTACTACATTTGGTGGCAGCAAATGCTATCATGCAAAAAAAAAAAAAAAGCTTATGTGTAAGATAATTTTGCTGTTTCTTACAGACCAAGTTGAAAAGTGCTGAGAACTTAGGGCTCTGCATTTTGTGCCAATTAATTTCTTTTTAAAGGTATCTGGAGAATAAGGTATCAGAAATAACTTTCTACTCAAGGAGGGCACGTTCCAAGTGAAAAAATAAGTGTTTGAGACACAAAAATTTCCTTTATAGCAAAAAAAGATATTAAAAAAATCAAAATATTTAATCTTAAAAATACTCTGACACAACATGCTGCAACATGACTGAATCTTGAAAACATCTTGCCTAGTGAAATGAGTCAGGCATAAATGGACAAATACTGTTATGATTCCACTTACAGGAAGTACGAAGAGGCAAATTCAGACAGAAAAGTAGAGCAGAGGTTACTGGAGCCTTGAGGGACAAGGGATGGGAGTTATGGTCCAGTGGGTACAGTGTCTCTGTGTTGGATGATGAAAAAGCTCCGGAAATGGACAGTGGTGACATGTGTACAACACTGTCAATGTACTAATACCACTGAATTATACACTTAAAATGGTTGAAAGAGCATATTTTAACACTAGGTAAATTTTACCTAAATGCAAATTATTTCACGACACTCTCTCAGACAGAAGTTCCTTGGAAAAGAATGCCTCCCGATGGTTTCCCAGAATTTGGCAACACAGCAGACTTCCGTCGAAGGAAAAGTGACTGCATGGGGCGGGGCGACGGGAACAAGTGCCTCTCCCCACCGCACTGACCGTCCTCTGCTGACCACCTCGGAGGCCTAGGGTGTCGTTTTAGAAAAGGAGCTGCCAAGTTTCCTCATAGGTCTATGAACTGTGTCCAGAAGAGCCTGGACATCACTTCCCTCCTTTTCTCAGTGTGACCCCCACTCCCAGCATTCCACAAATGCCAAAAAGCATAAATGCTCAAATGAAAAGGCACAAAAGTGTTAAGATTACTAATATGGTCGTTCTTTTTTCTGACAAAACATTTTTAGAAAAGACATCTGTTACTGAGCTTAAAGCTTTATCCAAGTAGAAGTAACATTTAGCAAATGGCAAATACTGTCTAAGGAGTAGAGTAAAAAATAACAGACATTTAAGTCTAAGTGTTCTAGAAAATATGTATAGTAACTTATCAATAACTTAAGTAATTTTTCCTAAGTCAAAGGTCCTTGACATTCAGGAAATATGATATTTCTTTGGTGCTATTATACTATCACTCTTAGTTGGTAGACAAAATTTGTAAGTGGGAAAAAACTGTTTAGAGATGCCAGAAGTTACTGCAATAACTGAGACACTTCAGAGGGAATCCCTTACATTTTTATATGGAATAATTAGAAACACGTCCAGTGAAGCTGTCCTTTTCCCTTAAGATATTTTTTTCCCTAACAATGTCTACCTATTGTTAAAAATTTGCTATTCACAGACAAGCATGAAAAAAACTACCCCTTAAGCCACATCACCCATTAAAAGCAGCTTATACAAACTAGTGAGAAACACAGACATCAGAGAATAACAGAAAAAATGCAAAGTGATAACTATGCTAGTGTATGCTAGTTATAATAACATATAATAAATCTGTACACACACACACATGCACGCGCACACACACAAACACACACACGCACACACACACACACACACACGCACACACACACACGGTTAACTCAACAAACCCAGGCCACTCAGACCTTGCACATCCCCAAGGTGGGTCAGCTTTTTTGACAAAAGTTTTCTAGGTTGGCTCCGGGGAATTGAGCCTTTTGAATACTCGGACTGAGGAGTGCCTGGCACGCCCAGGGCCTTGCTGCAAGCTGCAGCAGTCTGTATAGAGGGCTTATACAAACAGTGTGATTTATGAGGAACATGTGGCTTTTCCTCTGAGGATCTGGAGTTTCAGTGAGATAAGCCACAGTAATTACATGCCAGATCCCTCTTCAAAACTCTGAACTCCCAGGCACGAGTGGGTGTCTCTGGTAGGGGGCACTTCGCACATATTTTCACACTTCAGTATAGCATGTACTGAGCAGCTCGAGCCTACACCAAGATTCCTGTGGACTTCATGGCTCTTTCTCCCTCTGCTGATACTGCTTTTTCTCTAAGAAATCCTAACCATGAGTCTAACAACTTCTATATGTGAGTCCTTTTAGTGAATCACCAAACCAAGACAGATTTTGGGGGTTCCGTGACACAACACACATGTGTACAAACCATCTAATGTGTGTAGTTAAGGAAGACATTGCTTGGAAGTACTGTTTGAACTGAAGTCTGAAGAATAATAGTTAATTGGATAGAGAGAGGAAAAACTGCTTTCCAAGCACAAAAGTACAGAGGTGAAGACAGTCTAAGAAACCAAAGGAAGGCGTGCGCAACTTTACAGTTCCAGATGTCATACCACTAAGAATTGTTTTTAACCACTTCAAACATAGGAGTGATGTGGTCGGATTTCAGAAAAATTCACTCAGGTTGGAACACATAGAACAGAATGCTAAGAGGCCACTAAGTGGCCTCCAGACAAGATTTTCATCATCTTAAGGTATTATCTTTATACTCCTCAGATATTAACTATTTGGTATTTTGTTGTTCATGTGATTATTTTGTCCTTGTTTCTATCTTTAATGCTCAAAGAAGATTCTGAAGAGCTGTGAAGTGTTCTTCTAAGGACACAGAAAATATAAAGGGGGAAGAACACATAAGAGTCAGAAGGACTGGGTCTATATTTTTGTTTTTCTTCTACAATCTCTTTCAAAATGCTTAAATTTATTCTAAAGCCTGTCAATATTTGGTTTATGTTAAGTCTTACATCCACTAGAGGTTTTAAAGTAAGGGATTACATTAACACTTACCCTTATGGAAGAATGCCTGATATCTAATACATAAGAATGGTCCCGAGCAAGTGAATTTAATTTTAAAAATCTGCTCATATCTTCTCTGTTGATCCCAAGATTGCGAAGGCCATTCATCATTTTTCCTTCGAGTTTCAGCATATCCAAAATACTGTTTATAAAGAAAAGAATGTTTTATTTTGATTTGCCAATGCTTTTAAAATAATCTTTTCAAAAATGAAACTCATTAATAAACAAGAACTTCTAATTATTCACAGGTTCAAACTTACAATGAAGTCTTTTTAAGTGGTAACAAAAAATGAGACAAGTTATAATTATTATATTCTTCATCAAGGAAGTTCAGGCTCACCTCTGAGCAAGTGAAGTGAAACATGAATTTATTGATATATTAGAAAATATACCAGATTACTGTTCTGATAAATCTAATATGAAAACAAGATAAGATCACATGAATTACAATATAAAATTTTGGTAGAAGGTAAGTCCAATTATAGCATAAAAGTTCACATCTGTTTAGACAAAATTGAGATGTCTAATTACACAGATTTTCAAACACAAACATGCTTTACCACAGTCTTACCACTGTAAAGTCTTACCCTTACAGATGCACTTTGCAGTTCTTAAATATAATAGAAAGTAACAATGAAAAAGATAAGACAACAGCATCAATAAATAAACCTAGTGACAAAAACTGGGACAGTCTGATTTTTTAAACTACATTTATCAAGCTCATACTGTGTGTCAGTTAAGTGCCAAATATATTTCAAACAGAGCCTTTGAGTCTCACAACCATCCCAGAAAATCTCAAAGATGCAATTGGGGCTCAGCTAGGTGGTATCTCCTGACCCGCTCACTCTGAAAAAAGGGTGCAGAGGTGGGTGAGTGTTGAAGGAATGCAGTCCTTCCTGAGATCACTCAGCAGATGGGGTACAGTATTGGAGGGTGGTTGTTGTAGGGTACGCTGCTTTCCTGCATCTGTAAGGAATTAAAACTATACAGACTATGGTAAAGTGTGTTTGCATCTGAAAAAGCAAAAGTCTACTAGGCAAGAAGCAACTGTGGTTGTTATTTTTTGAAACCAAGTGTAAAATTCGTATTTATTACACTTAACCTTTATTCAAAAATGCAGTCATGGAAATCACTTTGCTTTTCATAAATGAATAGAATTGAAATAAAGCAATATATGGATTTTAGAATACATTCTCAGGAACTACCAAGGTCTACACTGAAAAAGTGATGATTGTGGAAGAGAAGTGCGAGAGAAGGAGCAAGAGTTTAAATATCACCAATCACTAGAGTGTGTCACCAATCAAAAGTCACACAGAGGCCAGATGGATCAAAAAGCAAAACCCAGCTATGACACAAGAGAGCCACTTAAATAAATAAAGACAAAGTTAGACTTAAGGTAGGAAATGGTAGTCCAAGCCAATGGTGAACTTTTTTAAAGTACTTGTTTTTGTTTTTTTTTAAATTTATTTATACAAGAACTGGGGTACAGACCAGAGGTGGGGAGGGTGAGAGGATTCACCAGAGACAGAGCGGGGAGCAGAACAGGCACATGAACTGAAAGCACTGCTGAGGGGAGCAGTGGGCGAGACAGGAGAGGTCTGCCACACCATGTGGGTATCTCCCTGGCCAGTCGGGAATTGAACTGGTGCTGCAAAGGCTGTGGACAGCTTCACAGCGCTGTGCTCTACCCGCTGGGGAGGCCCGCCAATGGTAAACTTTAAAGAGCAGGAACCACTATACTTAGATCAGCTAAAACAGACTTCCAACTAAAAAAGAGAGCAAGAGAATAGACATAATATAATGATAATAGGATCAAGAGGAAAACATAACAGTTATTAGTAAACACTCAATATAGTTACTATCTTTGGATTTGTTTAGAATCCTTCACTGTTTTCTCCTGCCCTTGAGATAAAAGGCTGAAATCTGTGCCTTGGTTCCAGAATCTGTTCTGTGCTTATATTTGTGACCTCAGCTCCTCAGCAACTTACTTTACAGACCTGTGATACTATACTTTCCATCGTCTCAAGCATGCCATGCTCATACCACTTACACTCCCCACTTAGCCTGATTCAGCACTGAACTCTTAGCTATCACTTCCATGAGGAAATCTAATATACACCGCCCCTATATTCCATCAAGAATTAGTTCAGGGCCTCCCTGGTGGCGCAGGGGTTAAGTCTCAGTGCTATAAAGTTATTGGCAGCCACTACAGCTTGAGTTTGATCCCCAGCCAGGGAGCTGACCAACACGGTGCAACAGACCTCTCCTGTCTCAGGCACTGCTCCCCTCAGCAGTGCATTTCAGTGGATCCACCTGTTCTGCTCTCCAATGTCTCTGGTGAAACCCCCCCATACCTCTGGCCTACACCCCAGTTCTTCTATGCATAAATAAAATAAATGTGTTTTTTAAAAGAATTAGTTCAAATCTCTGGAATTTTAAACTAAATCACTGCACTTCAGCTTTTCTAAACCTTAACTCTAATAATTTATGTTATTTCACTTAGGCAAGACTTATTTCTGTCTCGTTCATCATTATACCTCTAATATCCAGCACTTGCTACAGACTAGCAGGCAGTGAGATATCTGAATTTTAGCACTGGATTGATTTCATAATGTTGATTTTTAATGTTGCTTGCATTACAAATACTTATTTATCAAAAGTTCAAAAGAATCCTGAGCCAGATACAGATAATACTCCACGAATTAAAATACAGAGGAAGGAGAATACAGCTAATACTCCACAAGTGAGGCTATCAAGACACCTCTGTTACTTCTTTCATGCTGGTAGTTACACTGCAGACACTGCTCACACTGTTCCACTAACAGGCTGGCTAACTCAAGGAATGATATCCAATGTATGCCACAATCAGTTTCTTGAGAACTTGTACTTGATCAGTGTCTGGTCAACTGTATGGCTGAGGTGACTATTTAGAAGCAAGGAGCACAGTGCGTGCTATGTTGTTAGTAGCTGCAGACAGCTTTTAAAGATATCATTTATATACTTCTTCAAATTTACTCAGTCCTGTCTGCTCTTCTCCCTGGTCACTGCAACTGTAAAGCCTCCCTGGAGAAGAGTGGTAGACTTGGCAGCTGCTGACCTAACTCTGACCCAGGGAGGTTTTGATTCCTCCCATTACTTCCATGATCAGAGGAAGAACAGTGAGGCCTTAGGGTACATTCAGATTCTGTTCACAACCAAGAAAGGCAATGAGACAGGAAACAGAAGGACACAATTTCACACTGTCTTTCCCCAAGAGGGAAAGACAGAATTTCAGAATCTGAAATAGTAGTTGCACAGCACCTCTCTCTAGAACCAGGGTATAACCTCAGTAATATGCTATTTCCCTTGCTCTCCTCTTTCCTGTATCATTTCCCTCCATTCATCAACCTCTTCACAATGATACTGTTCTACATGCTATAATCATTTTTTTAGAACCTGTATATTTTATGCTAAAAAATATCAGGAGATATAAATATCCTCACATTTTCTTTTTCTTCTCTATGGGAAATATAGTAGCTGCAACGAGCGATCATATCAATGAGGAACGAAATGTGTTAAACATCCTGCAGATCACTAACCACCAGGTGGAGAAGCCAAGGGGTGGGACTTCTCCAATAACTCACAGACCTACTAAATTACAGGTCAAAACGTTCTTGCTATGAAATTGCCCCATATTTTGCCAGAGAAAACTTTCCAAAATCTACATACTACTTCACTGGCTCTTTGAAGCCTATTTTCCCTACTTTTTTTTTTAAAGATTTATTTATTGGGCCTCCCCGGTGGCGCAGCGGTTGAGCACTGGGTTGCAAAGCTGCCCACAGCCTCTGCAGCGCTGGTTCGATCCCCGGCTGCTCCCCAGCCACCGGAGGAGGGTCCCACATGGTGCGCAGACCTCTCCTGCCACCTACTGCTCCCCTCAGCAGTGTACTCCGGTCCTTCTGCCTGCTCTGCTCCCTGCTCTGGCTCTGGTCAATTCTCTCACCCTCCTGCACTTCTGACTATACCCAGTGCTTGTATAAATAAATAAAAATAAATCTTTGAAAAAAAAGATTGATTTATTTATTTATACAAGAACTGGGGTACAGGCCAGATGCACAGGAGGGTGAGAGGATTCACCAGAGACAGAGCAGGGAACAGAACAGGCCGACTGACGAAATACACCGCTGAGGGGAGCAGCGGGTGAGACAGGTGAGGTCTGCTGTGCCATGTGGGACCCTCGCCCGCCGGCCGGGATGGAACCCATTCTGCAGCAGCTGCGGACAGCTTCACAATGTGGTGCTCAACCACCTGCGCCAGCAGGGGAGGCCTTATTTTCCCTCTTTCTGAGGACATAAATCATTTCTCCCTCTGTAGCTTAAAGGCCAGGTGATAACAATTACCCTTTCTCCTATGTGTACAAATGACCTGTATGTCTTTGATTACTATTTTCCTATTATCAGGTCCAAAGATTCAAATAAGTAAAAATGAGCTCCATTTGATCTATTCTACTCACTCATTCATTCCTATATTCCCCTATATATTTACAAATTTGTACAAAAATAAGACATTAAGTTTAGTAAGAGTATATTCAACGGAATTAAAACTCTTGAATACTAAATACTAAGAATTAAGTACTGTGTTCACAAAATTCACCTTGTATTCTAAATTCTAAATTTTAAAGGTAGTTTCATATTTTTTTTTTTTTAAGTAAGATAAATTTGGTTTGTTTTCTGTTTGGTCCATGACTTCATTTCAGATCAATGCTCACGATAATTCTGCCCTAGAGCATTTTTGAAGATTTTTCTTTTTTGACCTGGGGAAATACCAACCCAGCATTCTATATCTGAAAATTCCTTTCTGACAGGTACGAGCACTTTAAATTCTTCCTGATAATTTCTTTCTTCTGGGGCAACATCTCATGCTTCTTTCAGTTACCTTCTGGAAGACAGAGATCCCTGACTGCTTAGTGCAGTCCCCAGGAAGTTTCCTGCTAGGTGATAAGCCTACTTTCCAGTGAGAGACAGTTTCAAATACTGGGACAGTGTGTTTCTTACCTAAACAAATATCTCCCAGTTCTTTCTAAATTGCTTAAGAGGGTATTCTACCAAAATCATAGAGCTGCTCTGCACAGTCAAAAAAATGTTCTGGCTTTAGCTTTAAAGTGATTATTTGCATTTTGACAAATACTAAACTCAGGACATACTTCCTTTACGTGAAGCACAGTTTCTATCAATAATTCAATACTTACCTGAAAGGATCATACGAATCCATTTCAAGACGAAGTCCATTTATAAATAGACAAGCATCACCTGGATGAATGGCAAATCTATTGTGAAGATCCTTGAAATGAGTAGAATAATTGTTAACCACATGATATAACAACAGTGATATTATGGCAGGAGTTGGCAAACATTCTAGAATGTCAGACAAATATTTTAGGCTTTGCAGGCCATATCATCCCTGTTACAACAACTAACTCGGCCCTCATAGCATGAAACAGCCAGCCAAAGAATATATAAACAAATGGGTGTTACCATGTTGTAATAAAATTTTTATTTATAAAAATTTATAAAAAGCCAGACTCAGGCTATGAATAGTAGTTTGTCATCCCCTAATCTAACTGATAAGAATCTCATGATAGGTCAGACACCCAAATTTCTGAATATTTTGACTGTGCAATATATGCCAAAGTTCCAATGCTACAATGAATACTTACCTACTAAATTTTATACTAATTTGAGAGTTGGCAAATTCCTATTTTTGATACCCTAGGGCTCAAAATTTTGTGTGCAAATATATTTCTTTCTAAATTCACAAAGATTTTCATAACAGCAATATTTCAATGCTCACTGTCTTTTTTTAGCAAATGTTTCCCAATTGCCCACTAAGTGCTTGAAATGACTCCAAGGTCTACAGCAATAACAAAAGTACAAATGGTAATGTGCTTGCCAGTACAGCCCAGTGACCAAGATCATGGTGAGAGAGTCAGATTTACTTTAAATTTGTCTTGCTACCTACTATTGAGATTTGAGAAAAAAAATTTTTTTTGCTTTTGTTCAGTCTGAGTTTCTTCATCTGTAAAATAGTATTCTTACATTTATCTCATGCTTGTTATAAATCTCAAATGCAATATATATCCCTGCCTAGTCACATGTACACTATTCACAAATTTTTTTGTTATTACTATTATCAGGGTAGAGAAATTGGTTTAAGGTGGAGAAGCAACTTTAAGACAGTGCATTTCAATGCCAACACAAAACAAATGACAAGAACTAAGATTTCTATAAATTATTTTGGAAAAGCAGATGAAGTAACTAATGAGATTCAGAGAAAGCTCGACAGAAGTCAATTGTCATGGTCATCACTAGCAGACAGGTGATACATACAGAAAAGGGACAATAGGAAATAAATTTGTAACAGGAAATACATTTGTAACAGGAAACAAATTATTTCCATTTGACTTATAAGGAATACTATATGCATACAGAACACTGGGTAAGAGATTAAACCCTAACCTGAGACAGTTCACAGGAAAATTTTGATTTGTATGTTAGTGACTTCTACCACATCTCTTACACTTCATGAAATTCTCCAATCTCTAAACACAAAATTACCACATACAGAAAAAGCTCTGATGCCCAGGAATATCCACTGTGGACTGTTAAATGAGGGGAGGGAAAGCTGGACTGTATGATGCTATTGATAGTCTAGCATTCCTTTCTTTTTCCTCCCACTTCCTTTGCTCTATTAAAGTGGCATTATTTACACAAATTCAGGAACTCGTAAGAAAACAATCCATTCTACTTGAAGAATTTTAAGTGTGGGTAGGAAAATTACAGAAACAATTAATAGCATTAACTCAATTTTGAAGAAAAAACAAGAATTTGCTAGGTGGTCAGGGAGGCCAAGAACATCCCAGGTCGGGATGATGGCCGTGGCTCCTAACACCCACACTCTGATCAAATACATGCCTACTTCATTATCATTGTTGCAGCTGTTGGTCATCATCAAAACAGCTGTTATTCATGAGGCGCTCACTCTCTCAGTGTGCCAGGCACTGCGGGCTGGCTAATTACTCCTAATATACCTTTGCTCTGTTAGCTTCCATCTCCTGAAAGATAAACACTAACTTTCTAGACCCTCTACCAGACCCATGCCAAAATTGTGATGAATGATATGGAAGTCAAAGTTGCCTGAAGTGCTCCAAGAAGTGAATCAATGTGGTTGATGCCACCTCTTTCTAGTTTGCATACAGAAAATAAAGTCTGAAGCTTTGGGACCTTAAGGCAACCATAAAAAGGGAAAAAAAAACATGAAGTGTAATTTAAACTTTTAGTGAGAAAAATTACCTCCTTCTATTTAGGGTCCTAAGTATTTGGTATTAAATTACTTAAAGTCAAATTAGTACTATGTAATAAGGCTATGCAATGTTCTAATCACACCACAAGTATTAACACAATTAGGATGACCGGTGTTTCAAGGTTAAGAGACCATTTGGCAAAACCAAACTACTAATCAATTGTGCTTTAGATGCTACAGGATGTCATGACTTGGTTCTCACAAGATTTTAAGAAAAACTAAGAAAGAGAAACAGAAAAACTAGCCATAGCCTTTATTCTTTATCCTGTGAAGAAAACCACACTATTTGGGCAGAAGCTTCGGAGTACAAGGTGAATGAGGAAGTAGGATACAGGTCAGGAAAGAATGTCTGGAATTAGAGTGAGTGTTATACAAAGTAAATATCAAAAACAATATACAAAGTAAACAAAACAAAAAAAGGAACTGTTTTAATAATCCAAACAAATTAGCACTTTCTCTTTTGTATGAAAGAGAAGATCTAAAGTCTGAAAAAATATTAGTGCATTTTTTTTTAAAAAAAGGAATTTAAAACATAAGAATAAAAAAGGAATTCAAACAAACCTTTTGATTTTCCTGTATTTCTTCCCTCATTTGTTGATTTACAGCAATTCTAGTTAGAGATCTGGGAAAATAAATACCGACATGACTCATTCTTTCATAAATACTTAGAACTAATCTATAATCAATGTAGTAGAATACTTTGTGTAAGAAACCAAAATTTCAAAGGCTTCATGACTGCAATGTGCATTTCTACAGGGCTTTATTTGACAGCAGTGTTTAGCCAAGTAGAAAAGACTGTTAAAAGCCATGTGTGCCAACTCTTCATATTACTTTGTTTGTTTAGGACTACTTATTTTTCAAAAATACTTGACTGGAAATGCTATTTTCTGTTGTTTTGCCCATGCAGAAAAATTCTGTATGAAATTACCAATGCCACTCTATGTGTCAATGCAATTTTTAGAGTATTTGTATGTAAAGAATTTTGGTCAACCTGGGATCTTTATCACAATAAAATACTGACTTCCCATATTCACGCAAAGATCCTTTTAATTTAACTTGTGACTTCCTTATAATTTAAATACAGAGCACAAATGTCTTTTAACAAGTCTATTAACTGTATTTATTTGACTTTATAACTTCTAAGAATGCTTAATAGTTACATGTGTCAATTTTACGAATAGAAGAAAATGACAAAAATTAAAAGATTGCTACTGTAAAGTTCTACTCTAAAATGCAGGCAGAAAAGTGTATCTTAAAACCACCAACAGTAAGTGTGCATGACCTCCTACAATTTGATAGCACTTGAGAGAAATTACAACCAGAAATTTGATAATATAAATTTTTAATTCATTTAGCAAATATTTCATTCCACAAACATTTACTGATTGTCTAACAAGTGGCTTTAGAGATATGTTGAAGCCTACAATTTAACCATTAAGTAGTGCTGGAATCCTTTGTAATTCTTTTTAAATACCCTACCATAAATTGTGTTATACAGAGAAAACAAACAGTTGAACTACATAAAATAGAATTTCTGGACTAGAGAGTCAATCAGTGATTACCAGAACAGAAGGGGGAGGATGGTGGGAAATTTGAGAAAACGGGGACAATGGTACAGTGAAGGTCAGATTTGGACTCTTGGCTCTGAACTCAGACTGGAATATATACATGTGGATTCTCAACAAAGAATACCTGAAATGCATATACTATAAGGCAATGTTACATTAATTTAAAAAGTAAATACAGGGCCTCCCTAGTGGCACAAGGGTTAGTCAGCACTATGAAGCTATCCAGCAGCCACTGCATGAGTTTGATCCCCGGCCAGGGAACTAACCCACATGCTCCCCTCAGCAGTGTATTTCCGGAGATCTGCCTGTTCTGTTCCCAGCTCTGTCTCTGGTGAATCCTCTTACCCTCCCGTACATCTGACCTATACCCCGGTTCTCGTAAAAATAAATGAAATCTTTAAAAATAAATAAATAAAAAGTAAATACAAATTTTGAGAGCATACTTTAGCAAAAGAGCCCCTGAATAGTACAAACTTACTGTCAAAAAAGAAAACTGTCTTAAGTCATGTTACTTTCTTTGTATCTAATTTAGTAATTTCCATAAGTCTATTAATTAAAAGCAGTATGGCTAGGAATACATAAACACACACACACACATGTTTTAGTATATAAATACTGACTTCTCAGGTTCTTTCACTGCTTAAGCTAAAATATGCTGTAATAGTTCTATCAGGGCCTCCCCGGTGGTGCAGCAGATTGAGTGCTGTGTTGTAATGAAGCTGTCCACAGCCTCTATAATGCGGGTTCGATCCCGGCTGGCCAAGGAGATTCCCACAAGGCACAGCAGACCTCTCCTGTCGAGCCCGCTGCTTCCCCCCAGCAGTGCTTTTGGTCTGTCTGCCTGTTCTGCTCCCCACTCTGTCTCTGGTGAATCCTTTTACCCTCCCGCGCCTCTGGCCTGTAACCCAACTACTGTATATAAAAAAAAAAATAGTATCAATCTTCATTCTTTGTAAGGTAACAAACCTATTTTCAGGATACCATTAAAAAATTCTTGTCTTGTGGCGAAATATATACTATTCATTTATCTTACAAAGGAAAATATCTAGAATTAAGATTCAGTAATTTATACTGTGGATAAATGTACACAATAGTATTTGAGACACAGACCGGTCTAACATTCACCCACTACTAAGAAGGGATGCTGAGAGCACAAGGATGCTCTCCATTCCTGTCAACAAAATACTACTTTTGCATTTGGCACATGCTATATGTCTTCTATATTTTAGTGGTTGTTTATAATTTCATTTTCTGTCATTCCTAACCAGAAAACAACGCATCAAAGTCCTACTGTTTTATAAAACCTATACTACCTATTAACTGAATTTAATGTATTGGTTACAGTAGATTGTAGATATGCAGACATATTACCTAGTGACCTGGAAGACTTTACTGTAAAAATGGGATTTCTGGAAACAGTTCAATTAGTTATCCTGTTGACAAAAATGTATTCCAAAAATGTCCCATACAAATTAGGATATTACTAATTGTTTGGAATCTAAAAGGCAGGTACATGGGCTCATATCTCCACAAGGAGAGAGAGAAAAGACTTCTTTATTATCACTTATTATTCAAATAAGTGTTTTCTTGGATTACCATGTCTCTCTGTTCAAGTTTAAATACTTTAGATAAATTAGTTTTTCCTTTCCATTTGCCTCTCACTCAAGAGTTGTTTTGCAGCACGCACAGAAGCACACAGAAGCCAATACTCTGTTGCAGTAAACAATCAACATTTATAACGAAGAAAGGCCCTGACTTCACACACACTATACATATCAGAATTAACTGACATCAGAATTAACTGAAATCGGCTATTTTCACAAAATGCATTTAATGGCTAGAGTTATAGCTGTAATAAAATAAACTTTCATATACCTGGCTTTTATGGGGAAGTTCTGTGAAATGTCTTTCATTAATTTTATGGCATCATAAACTGGAGTGGACATTATTTGAGAAGCTGCTTGAAAACTAAGATCTGAAAGGAAAAAAAAATATATCATTTAGGAATCTAGGAGAACAACAGACATTAATATAGACATTTCCATGTAATTTAAATAATTTACTCACACTTTCTGGCCATATATTCATACAAAGGGTTAATATCCAAGACAAAGAACTCATAAAACTCAACAAAAAACAATCCAATTAAAATATGGGTAGAGAATATGAAGAGACACTTGTGCAAAGAAGATACACAGATGGTCAATAGGCACAGGAAAAGGTGTTCATCATCTTTTATTACGGAAATGCAAACTGAAACAAGCTATCACCTCATACGTCTAAGAATGGCTATTGTCTAAAAGACAAGAAACAAAAAGCAGAGAAAAAGGAACCCTTATACACTTGGAACTGTATACTGGTGCCACCATTTTAGAAAGGAGTAAAAACAGTCTCAAAAATTTAAAAATAAAAAACCCATACAATCCATTTATCCCATTTTTGGGTATTTACCCCAAAACCAGAAAAACACAAACTTGAAGAAGTGTGTACACCCCTCTGTGGTTTTTTTTTTTTTTTTTTTTTGGCACCTTACTTACTTACTTTTTTTTTTTTGGCACCTTACTTACTTCCAGCCAAGATCTGGAAACAATGTAAGTGTCCATGATTGATGAATGGATAAAGAAGTGGTATACATGCACAATGGAATACTACTCAGCCATAAAAATGAAATCTGACCATTTGTGAAATCCTGAATGGAAATCGGAGGCCTACAATCCAGATCCCCATATTTAACTGCCTTCTTAGATTTACCACTTGGGTACTTCCAAAGCCGCTTATTTATTAATGAATTTGTGATATTCTGATGCCTTCTTTGCCTAAATCTGGTCCTATTTAGTCTTCTCTTTTCAGCAAATGTCACCACTATCCATCCAGGTGGGCAAAACACAAATCTAGCAGTTGTTCTTAATATCTCCTTCTTCCCCTTACATTCCATATCCAACCTCTCACAAAGATAGTCCCAAATAGCCCAAAATTATTCCAACTCTGTCTCAAATATTAACTGAATCACCACATCATGAAGACGATGACTCTTTCTATGCCCCTTTCCTCCCCACCCTTCCCAGTTTAGTTCTTACTAAATATATACCCTTTTTACTCCTATGTACCCTTACTTTGCAGCAAGTGCAATGGTAATTTTTATATTGATCTTTTAAATTATTTGATTTACATTTATCTAAGAGCTTCTGAAGAATCTGATGTCTTCTCAGCATTTTATCTTTAGAATCCAGTGTCTTCCAAAATGTCTGCTAAAATCAGATTAATGCATAATGTGGAGTTATTTTTGCTAAGGAAATAGGTTAGAATAAAACAAAAGTTTTGTCAAAGTGAACAGTATGTAGTAAACTTATACACTGTATGCTGAAGATTTTTTAATTATCAAAAGTATCTGTATTCATACATTACATATTTGTATATGGGTCTTCATATACAAATATATATATATAATATATATATAATATATATATATAATATATATATAATATATATATAAAAAATATATATAGGTAAAATATATATCCTACTGTAGGTCTCAGCCCTATAAAACCATGGTTGTGGCGACATGGTTGACACCTAGCAGACATTCAATAAATAGTTGTTAAATCAAACAGAAAACGTACTGGTTTCACGTCCTTGAAAATCTATTTTCTGTTAGCTTCTACAACATGATATTGCATTTCTCATCTTTCCACCATGTCTTATTCACCGCCTCTACTTTCTACATGTGGAGGAACACCACGGCCCCCTCCCAGGGGGGCTGGTTCAGTTACTCTACACGTTTAGTTAGTAGACCCTCCTTTGGAAACCTTTATGCTACAAGTTCCAACTATCAAAGTTCACCTTTTAACTGAAGGGCTTTATATCCCATCCACTACTGGATCTTGTTATCTGGATATATCACAGTCACTTAAAATCAAATTTTTTTAACACCATTCCCACTCTTTTTGGGTCCCCTACTTAACCCTCAAACCTACTTAGGTGTTTAATATTCTCTCTACTCAGGCACAAAGGTAGAAATGTTCCCATCTTGATGCCTCTTATTTTCTAAACTATTGCCAATTCCAGGCATCTTTTCTACCATTTCTACCTGCCACGGTCCTTTCTACACTATTTCAATGATATTTTTACTAGATATCCTAGTCCAATGACATGGATATGAGGGAGGTTATAAAATGAAACTAAACTAAACTATGTATTGTCTCCATTTAAAAGCCTTCAAAATCACCCTATCACTTACATTTCCTAAATTATTAGTCTCTTGAGAACATTTTGAAGGATAAGAAAGTACACTTGTGGTTGCCGACAGCTGGAGGAATTGGGGAGAAATGGGGAGTGACTGTAAAAAGGTACATCAAGTTCTTCTGGGGATAAAAATATTCTAAAATTGATTGTGATAAGTTACAGAATTCTGAAAATATACTGAAATCCACTGGAATGTATATTTTATATGGGTGAATAGTATATCAATTATATATTAGTAAACTATTATTTTTTAAAATTAATGAGATGTGATAGAAGTTATAAATTTTGCCAAAAAATGACATGTATCCATGACCTACTAAAAATTACAAGCAATAAAGAAGCAATTATAAACTGAAAAAGACTTACAGTTAAGTCCAAACTAAATTTTGGTCATGAAATATCTGCTTATACTTGACAGTAAAAAGCTGTTCACGGCTATCAGTGAAAAATACAATGATATAATAAAATTTAAAAGTTAAGAAAATGAAACTGAATTGTGATTTATCCCAAGCTACTAGCCAGAATTTTAGTAAGTGTGCTAGAGTCTCTGAAATGTGACTTAATACATGAAATGAACCTGTAAGTAAAACCACTGTATACTTTTAAAATTATGTGATATCAAACAATCTAAAAGCTTACAATAAATAAAAAAATATGATTTGTTAAATAACCTTTGAATAAAATAAGCATTTTAACACAAAGTAATATAATATATATAATTCGCATTAGTAATTATTACTATGAAATAATTTGTTATGTTATGTGAAAGCTGACTTCTGTTTTGTTAAATGAATAGTCAGATAAACACAAACTGAGTCAAATAAACACAAACCCTCGACAGCTGACTACAGAACTGAAACACCAGGGATGAAGAGGAGTGGAGGAGGGAAAAGAACAAAATAGGAAGGAAGTTCTTTGGTCCATGGCAGTGGGCACACTATGTTAGTAAAACCTGATAGCAGTACCCCGATATTACCTCAGCTAAAAAAATAAATTAAAAAATATTACACTAAAATAGCCTTCCTGGTGGCCTAAGGGGTTAAGACTCAACCTATGAAGCTGTCCGTAGCCACGAGTTCCATCCCGGGCCAGGGAGCTACCCACATGGCGCAGCAGACCTCTCCTGTCTCGCCCGCTGCTCCTCTCAGCAGTGTATTTCAGTCAGTCTTCCTGTTCTGTTCCCCACCCTGTCTCTGGTGAGTCCTCTCACCCCCAACACCTCTGGCCTATACCCCAGCTCTTGTATGCATAAATAAATAAATCTTTAAAAATATATATTATACTAAAATACTGTACCTTGCAGTTCCCAGACTTTTAAAGGCATCATTTCTTTGTTGCTCTCAATCAGATATTTCTGGAATGCTGTCAGATTACCACTGAGGTCTGGATGTAGTTCTCTGCATTGGAAAATTAAGTAAAGTTAATTATCATCACCTGATATAAATTCATTAATGAAGCAGTGTAGTTTTAAAAATTAACTCTTCTAAATAGGCACAAATTAGTCATTATTAAGACAATAACTCATGATGCAGCTATAGCCACAAAACTTAAAAATAATGAGAAATGTGTATGTCTACTTCTTTCAACATATAAAAACAACATTAAATCTGGAAGAATGTATTCAACATTGTTAATACGTTAACATTACCTATAAGGAGTGTAGTATAGGTGCAAAACTAGTAGTTTTTATGTTATATATTTTTAACATATTGAAAATTACTACTTCTTTTATAATTTACAACAAATATACTTTTGACATTAATATAATTTCAGATTTGTTCTATTTTTGAAAAGTCCCATCTTTAATACTTAAGAAAACTTAATTTTGTCTAATGTTAAACACATCTAGTTATCTTTTAAAAAGTAGAAGGACATTTTATTATACATATAAATCATAAGCTTTCTTTTCTCATGAAATAAAGACATACTGCTATTTCAAACAGGCAGAACTAAAAACTATCAATATAACTTACAAAGTACATTTTCAACAGTAAAGATAAATGAAAAATTTAAAAAGTGGAAAGAAAAATCTATATAGAACATATGCACAGAAATGGATTAATCTTATAGTTAACAACAAAAACCCCAATATATTGCAATGTTAAAATTCTGCATTTTATTTCAATGTGGTACCACACTTTGAAAATGACTCCAGACTGACAATATGTCTTATAGTGAAGAAGCAAGAGAACATATTTCTAAAAGAATTTCACTATGAATTAAATTCATTTCTTTTCAATATTACAAAGTTACAGAGTGGTATGTTTATACAAGAGGTATTTCTTTTACATTTAGTCATAAACAAATAATATTCACTGCTGAAATTATTTGTGTTTCAGGGAAAAATACCTTATTCAGACAGTGCCTTAAAACAATGTGTTTTGCACCAAATCAACTCTTTGTGTAAAAACTATTTCCTCTTAAATAAAAAAAAAAAACTAATATCCTAAAGTCTCAAACGATTTTTGGATGGTATGCAATTTATCCCTACAAAAAATTATTTTTAAAAATGAATAGACAATGAATTCCAAAATGTTAAGACACAGTTGAAAAGGGAATAAATATGTATAGTAATATACTAAATAAATGCCTTACTTAGAATAAATCCATCTCACAATATGCATTTCCTGTCTAAGGACACTAGCATATCATTTGGCCAATTAAATTAAAATTTAACTCAGTATCTGTATAAATTAACATAGTCTCAAAATATGTTTCCTTTACTCTGTCAACTTATCTATTCATCAGGAAGACTAAATTTTGTGTCCTTTATGAGTACTTAGAAAACCAAACTAGAACTGAAAGTATTAAAACAGACTCTCAGTAATTTTGCTAATATAATGGAATTAAAAACTTTCCCTTCTTATAAAATAAGGGGAAGTACATATAAAACTCCAAGAATCCCCATTCATGAATATTCAGGGAGAACTCACCATCCTATTCCTTGTCTTCAAAATCAGTGATGCAGAAAAAAAGAGGATTACAACTTTAGTGTTTGACAGGTTACTTGTAAATATGTGAGTAACTAAGACGTCAAAAGTTTTTAATATGGCAATCTGTGGCACAGAAATTTATAGAAATGTTTTCTGTTCTTTTTGAGGCATAAAGATCTTGATTTTTTTGTACTAAAGATCCAATATTGACCATGATTTTTGTAACTCGTTTGATTTGTAATCAATTCCACAAAGGTTTCTTCTAGGTTTTTACCAGATATAACATTTATAATTTTTAAATACTATTTTTTCGAACCATACTAAGTCAAATTAGCATGTTAACAGTTATTCGAAATATCTATCTGTACCTGATGAATATCAGATATATTAGCACTGCTATTAAAAACAAAGACACCAATAAAGAAAAAGTATTTCCATAGCTTATCACTTAAGTTTATAACAGGGATAAAAATACTGATGAATTTCAAAACAGTAAATACTAGCTAATAATACCAATAGAATATTTACTTAAAAATAATCTCAAATACAAAGAAAACCTTAAGAATTACCTGACTCCATTAGGAAAGGCAACATAAGGATAATGGGTATCACAGAAGGGAAAGAGAGAGAAGCAGAGAGAGTACTTACTCAAAGAAATAATAGAGGAAGACTTTTAAAACCTGCAGTAGCAACTGAATATACAAGTCATGAAGCTAAAAAGAATGCATGGAAGAACACCTGTTCATCTAAACATGCAGTAAGACTTATATTAAGACATGTAATAGTGAAACTACCCAGAGATGAAGACAAAGAACAATACTGAAGGCAGGTAGGGAAAAAAAGCAGGTAACCTGTGAAAGTGTTCCTATCAGACTTCTCTGACAAATACCAAATGGTCTCACTTATATGTGGAGTACAGAGAAACAAAGGAACCGGCAAAGCCAAACCAAAACATTAGAAATGTGACCATAGAACTGGGACGACCAGAGAAGAAAGGTGAGGGGTTGGGACTGAGTACAGAGGGAGCCTAGTGGATTATTGTGGAAGGCTGGTAGTGGCTGTGGTGTGTCAAACACATGTGCAGAGGTGTGACCTATATCACCGAATCATATAATGTTGTATACCAAGGTCACCACCATAAAAAATAACAACTTAAAAAGTTAAAGATCTACAATATAAGCATAAGCACTGATGCCTAAAATTCTGAGGGGGAAGGGAGAATGGACAAAAAGTACATAATGCAATACATTTTTATTTTTCAAAAAAAAAAAAGTAATCTAATTTTTTTATCTAAAGAAATTCAACCTGGGCACTAGTTTTCCCCCCTTGGCAATATTTTCAGTAACTATTTTTAGTAAAGATTAACTTGATAATTGTAATTTTATTTCTTGTCTATACATTTAACAGTTATATAGCACTTATATGCTATGATCACTTGTAAATTTGTATTACCAAATTAACTACATTAACTATTAACTTAACTACATTATCTATTCCCTTCAAATTTAAAAACATCCTAGACAAGTATTCATTATGCTAACAACACTGTTAGAATGGACTTTAGCAGAACAAGTTACTACTTTCAAGTACAGAAAACTGCAATTCATACAATAGCACCATACAGTGTGAATGAAGATTAGTATCAGAGGGGTTGGAATTTTTTATATAAAAAGCAGCTATATATTAGTAAAAAAGGTAAATACCTTAAGAAAAACTGAACAAAGTTTAGGAATAAGCAATTTACCCAAGAAGAAACTCAAAGGTCAATAAATATGAAAAAAGTTAAGCTTGAAAGTTAAGCTTTTTTTATAATAAATAATATTTGGCCATTTTAATACAAATTACAAAACAGTTCAGAACCAATGAAGCAAATGTTGAATTTTAAAGAAAAAGAAATAACATTACACCTACTAAACTGACAAACATGTTTAAAATAGTATCAGTGGTTAAAAAAGTTCTGGGAAAAGGATATATTCCTTGAGAAATGGATGCTACAGTGAGTGTAAATGTTACTAAAATTTATGAGAGACATTTGGAAATGTGTACCAAAAATTTTTAAAGTACATATTCTTTGATTTGTTGGTTTTCTTCTGGAATTTGTGTTAAGGAAAATTAGAGATATATACAAATTTATGCACAAACATATTCAACAAAAAAGTACAGAAATAACAAAGTCCTACTTCATGATATTATTTTAGTCAAAGACAGAATATTCCACAGAATATGAAAAAAGCAGTTGTACAGTATTGTTCCACCATTCAAAACAATAGACTGCATATGCATTCATTTGTTGCAAAGAAATACATACAGAAAGATTGGAAAGATATACATCAGAACATTAATAATGGTTATACGTCAGTTGTGTATGGAATTAGGGTTTTTGGAAATTGTGTTTTTGCGATTAATACTTTACTTTTGTAATAAATAAAAGCAATCGCATATTTAAAATTTAAAACATTAAAAATATAAAATATATGCCAATAGCGTACACAATTCCTTTATAAACAAATCTGAGTGTTATAACAAAATTTCATTTAAATCCTGACTTACTTTAGTTTCCCAAAGAGAAATCCTTGAACTTCATTTGTTTCAATCTCATCTTCTACAGTAGTATTGGTCGCTGCTATAGTTTGGAAACAAAACCAAAATAAAACACAAACCTTTTCAAAACAGGAAAAAAAACATGTAATCAAAACTTAAAAGAACTCAAAATGAAATCAAATTCCCTTTGTTTTACCTTGTTTTTCTTTCAGGGAGGAGCTTAATGACACATCCATTTGCACACATTTATATTTCTGTGCTTAAAATAAGCTTGAATATTAAATAGTTAACAACCCTAATTAATGCTCGATAGATTATTTTATAGTTCTATTTTTATACTCAGAATGATAAAGCAAAGGGTCTGCAACAAATCCTGGATTTAGATCATAAACCAGGCAGATAATCTAAACCCCAACAAATATATTTTTCGTGTAACTCTGACTCCTTTAAAGATAATCCAAGAAATCTTTGGGAAGACACCAAAGCTCGTGGTCTCAAAGAATAAGAATGTAACCTTTTATAGTCATTTCCTTTCCCCTTTCCTTATCAAATAGTAATAGACAGTGTGATGAGTAGTCTATGTTAAGGGCCCTCTGGGATTGTAAGAATCTGTGACCTCTTAGAGCATGGGGATTTGCTCTCTGCCAGAGTATATCAGGATTCATCAAGTACATTCTTCCCTTCTTACTCTTCTGAAGGTCTGAATCTCCAGGACTACAACCAGAAAAAGACCCAGGGTTTAGATCTAGTGTTCCTTTTCTTCCCTTTCATTCATTTATCAGGCAAGTATTTACTGACTGCTACTATGCCTGCTGCCTGCTGGGAGAGATACCAGCAAAGAGTCACAAAGAGAAATTCTTGAACTTTGTTTCGATCTCACCTTCTACATTAGTATTAGTTGCAGCTCTAGTTCGGAAACAAAACTCTGGTTAATGGAAGTGAGAGAAAAATAGACAATTTTAACTGTGTGTAAAACTTCTCTGAAAGAAAACAGAATTTCTGGGATATAGAAAACGAAACCCCATCTTCTGACAGAGCAGCGAGACAGGCAGTCATCTCAGAAGTACTGATCTTAAAAGATGAATAGGCTTTAGATGAAGTGAAAGAGGTAGAGAAAAGAGAAAAGTTTCAGGTAGAAGGAACAGCACATGCTAAGGGATGAAAGTACTGCATAAAGCTATGACATGGAGTCAAACACAGAGGGATTCGGGAACAGAAAATTATTCTGTACAATACGTTCCTGCAGCAGGAGCAGAGGGTACAATGGGGCTGAGGGAGAGTGACAAGGTAGAAAGAGGTCAGAGTATAAAAACTTCTGTCTGCTATGCTACAGTACTTGAACTTGTGGGTGAGGATACAGAGAGCCAACTAAGGGGTTTTAATTAGCAGTGTCTCAAAGTCAAATTTTTACCATAAGAAGTTTCTCTAAAAGCACTGTGGAGAATACACTGATTGATCTGTTTTAGTGGGGTACGAGAACTGAGGGAACTGCAGACCAAAGATCAGAGAGGTCAGTTAGAATCCTACAAGTATACAAGAGAAAAAAGAAAGAGATCTGAACTAAAGGAATGGCAACTAGAACAGAGAGGAGATACACTCCAAATATATATAGAAAGATGACAAAATTTAGTGTGCAATTTCTAATACAGATAATAAATGTTCACATAACTTTTAAAATTCCACAAGTCTAGAAAATGCCTTGTAATATCATGACTATCAGACACAGAATTCTAAAGCATGCAGGAGCTATAGAGAGATACAAAAAATATGAATGTTTATTTCTACTATACTTTTTCAATAAGTCTTTGAAATTGGCAGTACTTAAATCACAGTAATACAGAGCAGCCATATGTGTGCATATGTGTGTATGCACACACTCTCTGATCCATCCACCCCTAGGTGCTGGCCTCAAGAGCCAGATCCTGAGTAGAATAATTAAGTTGAAGCAGAAGCCTCACCTGGGAGCATATAAAACAATGAATTAAAGACTGAATCAAGAATCAGCTATAAACAAATTTCCAATGACTCAGGTAGTAAAAGATTTCCCTAAGAATGAGAATTTCTTTTGTTTCTTTAGGTATCCAGAGTCTTATCTAGAGCACACCTTTAGTTCATAGGTCTATATACAGATACGGGTATATAGATCACAAATCTAGTAAATCTACCTGACACAATCATACACTTTACTGGTTTCTTCTACCATGCTGCAACAACAGCAACAAAAGCAAGAACCATCATTCTAATTTGATTATAAATAAACACTCTAGACAGAGCCTCCTGAAACAATGTGTCACCAATTACCAACAGGTTGACAAATCTCTTTACACTGCTTTCCCTCCAGCAGCTGGGCAGAACGTGGGCACCTGAGCTCCTAGGAAAGTAACCTCCAGTCCTAAGCAGCCTCACTTTTGCCTCAGTGTACCCCATACTCATTATCATTTTATAAATGTTGCTGAAAAAGGCTGAGAAACCACTGGGTATAAGCAAAATAAAATGATATTTCAAAAATTTATAGCGGCTTTTAAGAACACAATTTCTTTCAATTTACAATTAAACTCTAAGCTAAGTAGGACTGTATCCATCCTATCTTCCAGCCGCAAATTAACATCTGTATAATTGTACTCATTAATTTTTTTATGAAAATTTGAAAACCTCCAAATTTTCATTCTGCTCAAGTAGACACATACAACTTACTTTTAACTTGGGTATCATCCAGCGCTTTGTATTCTGTACTCTTAATCGCTAGCTCCACACCATAGCCAGACAGGTACATTTTCTGTGAGCTTGGCTTCTGTTCAAAGATAATTTTTTTCAAGAGAGAGAATATAGTCAAACGTCTTGCTTCAAATTCAGTATGACCGGACTTCCCTGATGGCGCAAGGGGTTGAGGCACAACCTATGAAGCCCAGCTAGGAAGCTGCCCACATGGTGCAGCAGACCTCTCCTGACTCGCCCTCTGCTCCCCTCAGCAGTATATTTCAGTAGATCCACCTGTTTTGTTCCCCACTCTGTCTCTGGTGAATCCTCTCACCCCCCACACCTCTGGCCTGTACCTCAGTTCTTGTGTGCATAAATAAATCAATTAAAAAAAAAAACAAATTCAGTATGACCATGTTGTTAAAACTTTAGGGGAATCACTAATATTGAACATCTCCATCTTGTAAAGTTGTGAAATATTATTTGGGGGACATTTCTACTCTCTTAGTGTATCAAGGAACCAAATAACCATTTCCTTACTTTCTTAAAACTTTGTTATAACTACTGTTCTAATTACTTTTTTACAAGGGAAAAAAATACCTGGTCTTTTTCTGCTATACCATTGTAACTTTCCTTTTTCTCCCATGAATTAATTAACAGAGGTGCAAATAAAATCAAGTTTTGACAAAACTGCATTCCTTTGAGGGAATTACATAAGATTTGCTAAGCTAGAAATGCTACTCAAGTACCAGCTGTCTAGATACAGGACAACAAAAGCTTTTCCAAAAGGAACTACTATAAAGTGGAGGCAAGGAAGAAAACCTCAGAGCCTTGAAGAACTTTTTTAAAATTTTCTTTATGTATCTCAATGATTACATTATACTAAATTCCACAAATTTTTGTCTGTTCTTGTAATGAGGGGCACAATTGCCTAAGTCTGAGTTGTCTGTAATATTTTGGTACCTAATTTCTCTTCTTATAAAGGGCAAAAAAATACAATGCCTTTCTAGAGACCCACCACGTAAGCCATCACATTTTCCCCTAAAAGGTAAGCAATGGGGATGGATACAAACAATATTTTGTTTTTTAAAAAATCTATTTATTTATTTATGCATACAAGAGCTGGGGTGAAAGCCAGAAGTGGGGGGGGCGGGGGTGGTAAGAGGATTCACCAGAGACAGAGTGGGGAGGAGAACAAGTAGATCCACTAAAATACACTGCTGAGGGGAGCAGTGGGCGAGACAGGAGAGGTCTGCTGAGCCATGAGGGTCACCTCCCTGGTCCAGGATCGAACTCCTGATGCAGTGGCTGCAAGACAGCTTCACAGTGTTGAGACTTAACCCTTGCGTGACCAGGGAGAATACACATAATATTTTAGATGTCTAAGGTTCTTTCTGGCTTCCAGACTGAAATTCTTATCAGTGAGACTACAATTATTACCATATGGTACATTCTCTGAGGGACTAGGAAAACAATTTAAACTAGTGCACAGGGTGCAGCTCTACAGCCCTCCACCTGATACATGAGGTAGAGATTGGAGGGAAGCTGAAGAGCAAGAGTGTATTACTCTTTTTATTCTCCTTCCTTCCTAACTTTTCTCCCAGTCTTAAAAATAAGTACATAACCAGAGTGCCTATTCTTGGACTGTTCTATTTCCAAATAAGATGATGTAAGAATTAGTTTCAGATATGCAGACAAGTATTTAACATTGCTGCCCACACTAAAATTTAATTTGCTAATTTCTCAGGCATATGCTACGATGAAAGATAGCACAAGGAAATTGGGTTATTTATAATAGTAATATAACAACGCTGAAAATCTTTTAAAGGGCTTTCAATTTCATACAGCTCCTTTTAAAATAACATTTTGACTATCTACTCAAGAGATAATCAATCAATTGGTGGCTAAGCAAATTGAGGCAATAAGTTCATGCATCTTGCTATAGTTCATAAAAGGAATGCAATTTCACATAACCAATTTCCATTATCAGTTCCAGAATGTTATTAGCTCATCTTCAGTAATAAAGAAAAATATTTATTAAATTCATATTTACTTTTTCAATTTGAAAATGTGTAAGTATAAAAGCTGAATTATAACTATTAATAAGTTTAGATTTGCAAACCAAAAATTCTCATAGGCTCTATCAACTGATGAGAAGAATCTTTTTCTATTTCTTCTTTTCCCACAAAACAGCATCTATTCAAAAGGTAGCAAAAATAAGCCCATTTTTTATTTTAATTACATGTTGACTCAATTTACAATAAAACTATTTTTGAACATACAGTAAGTCATTCATTAAATATAAGTCTAAAATTTATGCTGCAAAGTACCCAGATAGTTGGCTAGGATGATTTCAGAGAATTATAATGATGGTCAATTGCATTCTTCAAAGAAAAATTTGGGAGACACTGATTCTCAATACCTGAGCACGTCTCTCTGGGAGGCATAGGAGAATCATTTGGGGAGATATTTTTTAAAAAGAAACATATCCTTCGATCTCCCACTCCCATTACTCTTCTCATACAATAAACATATCACATTTATTGAAGGTGTACAAAATAACTGATATATGTATATATTGCAAAATTATTAACACAATAATTAACATCCATACCATACATAGTTTTTTTTCTCTTGTCCTGAGAACTTTTAAGATCTACTCACTACCAAAAACATCACTGCTATGACCAATGTCAAGGATGTTTTTTCTATGTTTTCTTCTAGGATTTTTATGGTTTCAGGTTTTATGTTAATGTCTTCATCCATTTCAAGCTAACTGGTGTGGGTGATCTAAGATAGGAATCAAGTTTCATTCTTTTGCATGTGGTCAGTTATTTTTTTCAGCACTATTTACTGAACAGACTATTCCTTACTGAGAATGCTTCATTAAATATTAGTTAATCATACATGCATGTGTTTATTTCTGGGTTCTCTGTTCCAATAATCTGTGTGTTTTACCATATTGTTTTTACCATATTGTTTTTACCATATTGTTGTGATACCATATTGTTTTAATAACCATTGCTTTGTAATAGATTTTGAAAACTATTGCTTTGTTGTAATACATTTTCACTAAAAATAACTGCACTTATGAATCCCAGTAAATATTATACAAATATCACTGCAGCAGAGTTTTGTTTTTTATCCTAGTTTTAAATGTGTTCCAGACATATAAGGAAACGCATTATAAACATGATCCCTCCAGAATACATACAGAATTCCAATATATATTTCCACATAAAATTCATGTTTGATAGTTGTGTTAATTAAAAAAAACTTTAAATGGCTGCATTGGGAAAAAATTATTATGTAAGCTGTAGTAAGAATTATAATAAATTGAATTTTCATTGCCAAGATAATCTTGGGTTGAACAAACATGTACCTGAATATAATGTCGAAGAACATATAGAATTTCCCCATTTTGAGCTTTTTCAGATAATACTGCATGGAATTTACCAAACGCTCTGGTACCCATTTCTGCATAGAGAATAACCACTGGTAAGTTCTCCTTCTTTGTTGGAAATTTATGATCTACTTTAAATAGATATGGTCTGGGCCTAAAATGAAAACATAGTACAGAGTTTTAAAATAATTAAAAGAAAAAAAGTATTTAAATTTACTGTGATGACTTTGTATACATAACTTCTACTGAATGACAAAAAAAAGAAATCACACCAACCGAAAACTGGTGAAAAATACTGTATTTTCCCAAGATTCACCATTTTTAAATAATAATGTTAGCACTTTGCAATGAAATAAAATTTGCATTTTTTTTAATCAGAAAGATATAACTTTCCACTACAGTTCACATTTCCTAAAACAGGTTCCAAATATCTAAAAAACAAAACAATGGAACTATCTCATACAAAGACTATCATTATTTCTATGAATAACAACTATTAAATCCTCAACTATAATCAAACTGAGAACTTTTATGGTCCAGCCTTATCATAAACAGACTGACACCATATTTGCCAGGAACTATTATCTAGATTCTTTGTACATATAAGTGAATTCTTAATAATTCCATTAGCTAGTGAGTATCGTTCACATAAACATGTAAATTTCTGAGGCTTTAATTCTCTTAAAAGAAATCCAAAATTTCAGCTCATGTCAATGGAATTCCTAACCTTTTATCTACTACCAATTTTTATTGGCTGAAAGGAAAAGAGGAAATAATAAAGGCACTGAGAAATAACTTTTTTTTTAATGAATTCAGACCTCTACAATATTCAGTCATTTACTAAACTTAAGTAACAAATACTAAGTAAAGGAGAGGAAAGGAGGGCATGGAAACAGTGCTACAGAAAGACTGCAGATGTGGAAATCAGGCAGAATTGGATTACGTTCTAGCTTAACTCCTAAGTAATTTTGTGACCCCGGCCAAATGATGTGTTCTCTCTTGAGCCCACTTACCTGTTCAAGGGCAGGAATTCCAATTAGATCTTAAGAGTTGTCCTATGGATTTACCAAAACAACTTGTAAATTATCCGGCCTATGCCTGCTGCTCAAGAAACCATCTTTTTTCTCTCACTCCTGCAAACCTCCACTTCCTAAAATATCAAACCTACAGCCAACATCATACTCAATGGTGAAAAACAAAGCTTTTCTTTTAGGATCAGTAAGAAGACCCGGACGCTTAAACTCATTACTACTACTCAATATTGCATTAAAATTTTATACTTAATCTTTTTTCCAAGTACAAAATGTTAACGCCATTCATCTACTTTTATTTGATCTGGATATAAATAGAAGGTGATTAGAAAATATTCACCTGTTTTCCTAGGTGTTGCCCATCTGACAACTAGCAGTCTTTCTAGTGGCTAACCACACAGGTAAGCCAAAAGTCAGTGTAAATTACCAAGTTTCATCAAGGGGTCTGGGATTGGTCAGGGTATGAGGCTTGCCCTACATTCTGCCCAGTGAATGGAGTGATGACACTGCTTTTGGTTTTATACAGCTGAAACTTGGCTGGACAGTAACAGCCCAAAGCTACTACCAGCTTTTAAGTTAGCTGACTGTATCAGTAATATATCCCAGGCAATAAGAAAAACCATTGTGAAGAACACATTGAGCCAGCAACTTTACTTCAGGTAATGGAATGGTCATATGTTTTATCCCAAAGCTGTGGCTACTACCTTTTCATGTAAACCTAAGATAATGCTAGGTCAAAGCAACCGTGCTCCTGAACACACCATTTCCAGGACACTTGTGGGCCCTTCCCACCATGTTAGTCATTGAACCCGAATGACCTATTCTGAAATGTAAATGTTAAATGTTTACAAATTTCTCTGGGTAAGGCCTTTAGTTTCAGTAAGTGCTTGGTAACAGCTAAGAGCTGCTCTTTTTAACAAGATGACTGAAATACAAAATAAACTCTTAGATTATAAGATTAATTAGTGCTTACCAGAAGAGAAGGGAGAAAGAGGACAATGGTAAGGTGAAAGAGAAAACTGGAAGTTTTGTGGTATGTACTTGTTGTATGTACATACGCTGAATCTCAATGCCACAAATCTGAAACTTTATAATGCAATGTCACTTGGTGACAAACAAAAAGGGGTGGATCTAACAGCTCAGTCAGGCAGGTGGCACTGTTGTCGTTGGAAACTGCCTCTTGGGTATTTCAGCAGTTGTCACCTCTGTGGCTAGAGTTGTGAATTTCCCTTTCCCAGCCTGGGAGTAGACAGTACATGTGGCGGTCCCCGAATGAGAGTGTTTCCCTTTAGACTTCATGAGCATTCACAGCATAAACATGAAAAATGTGGGAGCCAAAACAATCAACGTGCATTATAGTGGTCTAGAGGGATGACTTTAATTCCGTTTCCCACATGAGTCCCTGCCAAACCCCAACAGTTGAGTTCAGTGCCTTTCCCTGTAGAACACAGATCAAACAATGTGTCAGGTACTACAGTAACAGCTATAAGCCAGGTTGTGCAGAATGGCAGGTGGAGGGAAAGAGGGGGAGCAGTAGAAAAGAATTTAAGTGATGACTTTTATCTCCCCAACCTGTAAGACCCATGCCTTCTCTTTCAGAAAGCCATGTGTCAACATCCTACCCTTGTCTCTCAAACTGTCAACATCTGTAAAATGCCTAAGGTTTGGTTTTACAAATAAGGTAACTTTTCATCATTTCATGAACTCTGGCAGAAGAGGAAGGTTGCTGGGTCAAAGACAAAGAAATGCATTGCTCCTGGCACAGGAAGCAGCATGAGCATAATTTTGCCTCCCAAGTTCCTCAGGGGTGGGGAGGGAGTGGTGTGACAAAACACAAACCAAGGAGGACAGGTACCACAGTGGGTGCACGCTGCAGCTGAGGAGTACTTTACCTGGGGAAGCACCATTTTATAGCAAGCAGTATATAGCTTGTTCTTTTCCCCACAGGTAGACATTACCTAATTCCTCAAGGTTGCTCACTTGCTGCTAACAGGATAATGAGAAATGGCTTAGGTAAAAACACAGTCAAATCAAGAGCTCAAATTTTTTACTGGTCAAACTAAGCAAGAACATGCAAAGACTCAAGGTTCCATGGGGGAGACTGTCTCTCCCAGCAGCTTCATGTTAATTTTATTTTAATCTTACTTTTAGATTTAGTATTTAATTTAAATTTAATTTCTGTAAGAAAATTATAAAATCAGACATCAATAATAAATTTTAAAAGTTACCAAAACTGCCTCTAAAAAATTCAATAGGAAAAGCAAAAAATGCATGACTAACCATTTCATAATTAGTCTATAATGCTATACAGGAATAAGTTCCTATTAATTCTTACAGAATAACATGGTAAATTAATGCCTACATTAACTGTATGAAGCTAGAATAATGCTGATTTTAAAAGATGACATAAATGATTAAAACAAAATTTTAGCTAATTTCAATTATTAAAATAAAAACATGAACCTTAATAAAAATATAAGCATTTAGTTCAACAGAAATTAGAATAATCCCACACCATTACCAAAAAGCTTTCCTAAAAATGCAAAGATATATTTTAAAATACATTGCCATATATGCCAGTATGTCAAATGAGAAAATTTTGTATTCATTTCAATAAATGAAGAAAATCATTGATAAAACAATTCTGATTAAAAAAACCCAGAAAATATACAAAACTTTAAAAAATTAAAATAAGGTATAAACAGAAGACATAGTATGTTATTTGTGGAGAGAGTCAATGTAAAGATTGAAATTCTTAATCAATAGGTTTAACATAGTTCTTTTTTTTAATTAAAGATTTATTCATTTATTCAAGAACCAGGGTACAGGTCAGATGTGCGAGAGGGTGAAAGGATTCACCAGAGACAGAGCAGAGAACAGAACAGGCCGACGACAGAAATACACTGCTGACGGGAGCAGCGGGCAAGACGGGAGAGGTCTACTCGCCGGATAGGATTCTTGCCCGCCGGCCAGGATTGAACCCGCGCTGCTGCGGAGGCTGTGGACAGCTTCACAGCGCAGCACTGGCGCTCAATCGCCTGCGCCACCAGGGAGGCCCAGGTTTAACATAGTTCTAATAAAAACTCTGCCACATTTTTTTCTCAAATGTTAATTTGAAAGTCATCAATAAATACAAAAAGAAATTTTTGTAGGAAAAAATGAGCAATAAGAAAGAAATTGTCTTGTGAGGTATATATTAGAATATATTATAAAGTAATAAATGCTAAAACAGCATAGTACTGCTGTTATAAGAAACAGATAATGGGGGCCTCCCCGGTGGCGCAGTGGTTGAGCGCTGGGTTGCGAAGCTGCCCGCGGCCTCTGCGGCGCCAGTTCGATCCCCGGCTGCTCCCCGGCCACCAGAGGAGGGCCCCACATGGCGCGCAGACCTCTCCTGCCGCCCGCTGCTCCCCTCAGCAGTGTACTTCGGTCCTTCTGCCTGCTCTGCTCCCCGCTCTGGCTCTGGTGAATTCTCTCACCCTCCCGCGCTTCTGACTGTACCCAGTGCATGTGTAAACAAAACAAACAAATAAATAAAAAAAAAAAAAAAAAAGAAACAGATAATGGTACAAAATGAATAGTTTTAAAATAGACCATGTTATAAATTAATGAATATAGCAAGTGACTGCCTATAAGAAGTGACTTTTTCCCTGAGGAGAAAATGATCTGATTGGACACTTCTTCTTTTTTTTTTTTTTAATAGAGGCATGTTTTATTTATTTATTTGTTTGTTTGTTTGTTTGCTTGTTTTGTTTTATACATGCACTGGGTACAGTCAGAAGCGCGGGAAGGTGAGAGAATTCACCAGAGCCAGAGCGGGGAGCAGAGCAGGCAGAAGGACCGAAGTACACTGCTGAGGGGAGCAGCGGGCGGCAGGAGAGGTCTGCAAGCCAGGTGGGACCCTCCTCTGGTGTCCGGGGAGCAGCCGGGGATCGAACCGGCGCCGCAGAGGCTGCTGGCAGCTTCGCAACCCAGCGCTCAACCACTGCGCCACCGGGGAGGCCCTGATTGGACACTTCTGACAAAAATAAATTACAGATGAATTAAAAGCTTAAGGTGAAAGGAAAAATTTTAATAAAGTTATTGGAAAATACTAGTAAAATCTCTCAGTTTTGGAAAAACTAGATAAAAAACACACATATGAAGGAAAATTTGGGCTCTGTAAATATTTTCTGTATATTAAAATGAATATGATATAAGAAAATGTTATTTTTTAACCAGTACTAATATGAGTTATTAAACATATGGTTCTGCTTAATATATTATAAAATCTAATACTTTAAAAGGTATAAAAATTCAGGTAGTAAAACATAAACTGGAAGGTATTAGTAATAAATCATAATAAATTAATAATTTCCTATATTCATTTTTATTCAATACTGAGAAGAAATTGAAAAACGTTTTAAATAACACATAATAAAGAAGCAACTCTATGTTATGGATTTTATCATTAATTTTTTATTTCCAAGGTATAAATTTAGTTTGTATTTAAAGATAGTCAAAATTTGAAGTTTTGCGTTTATTTGAAAAAATGATTTACGTTTGTATAAGACATATACTCATATTTAGGTATACTCTAAAATCAAAAGCTACTCAAAATGAAACCTTGAAAGCACTTACATAGTTTAGAAAAAAGGCTTAGACTACCAGCTCAGATATATTCATATTTTCAGTAGACAATATATTTGTGAATATACATTTTAGGATATTAAAATGTTTCATCATAAGAAATGTCTGCTCTTTCAACCCTCATCTCTTTATAAACCACTTCTTTCAGTACTGGTTATCACTAATTTACCTTGAAGTAGCCTTCTTCAACAGCTTTTTAATCTCATTAATTTTACAGGTGTGTTTCTCATGGATAACCACAAATGCATTACAACCATCTGGTGGGGGCTCATCAGCTGCAATCTAAGATTTCAAAGATTATATTTAGCTACAGTAGTTGATAATTACAATTCACATTTAAAAAACTCACTCATTACTTTGATTAAAATAACTCATCAACTACTATTAAGTTATTGCTCTAATTAAAGTGAAAACTATATGCAGGCAGAATAAAATATTTTAACAAAATCAACTTTATACTATGAAATACATACTTCAAAGTTGTTGAAAAATTACATTAAATTGAAATTTTCATTGCAGTTCATTTCAGTAGTGATTTGTACTCATAATTCCATGATCCCAAATAATTATAAAATTATGTAATACATCCAATCATATAATCATAACAATGATAATTTAATCAATGCTACACTACGGAATCAGGTGTAAGTTTGCAAATCTTTTTGAACCAAAGATATTCACAATAAGATTATTAATGTATGTAAATTTCCTCCATGCTTCTCTGTCAAATATAGTTCGGGTATTTTGACATACCTGTTGAAACATCTCGATAGTTGGAGAGTGTGCCCTCATAGACAAAGCAAACTTTAAGAGATTGATATGTAAATTGTCTAAAAATTGTCCAGCTTTCTTCAGGATTAAGTTGTAATAAGAATAATCTGACTCTATAAAGAGAATTAAAAAGAAAAATATATTAGTATTTTGTATTCAACATATTGGCATGTTGCTCACCAAATGCTGTAGAATCATGAATTTAGTCTCTACTGTGTGCTCTTCGTCTGGCTACCCCTTAAACACTGGTATTCTCAGGCTTCCACCCAGGGTGCTTCTCTTCTCCCCATGCTGTAACTCCACTCTATAACTTTAATAACCCTCTTGATGTTAACTTCTAAATCCTAACCATCAACCTAGACTTTTTTTTTTTTTACTTAAACCTCTCACTCACATATCAGCACATGGAAATCTAAATGTGACACATCCGAACTACAATCATCTTCTTAACCTCATATCTGGTTTTAAGTGAGTTAATAATGTCCTAACATTTTCTGAAAATCCTTTTCACTAAAATATAAAGCAACTTTACTAATCTAGAAATCAATAGAATCGTCAAGGACTTTGTGAACGAGATCCTCTAGATGTTGAGCATATGGAGAAGTGAAAATAAATAGGGATTCTGGAGTCAGATAGACCTTGGCTGACATTCTGTGACAATCTGTAAATTAGCTAATATGAAACTATTGTTTAAATACAATCTAAAAGGTCTTAACTTGCTGCACATAATATAAAGCATTCTCACTAAATGGCATAAAACTAGCACTTGGTTTCAAAGAGTAAAATGTTCAATATTTACAACTTTAAACAAGTAGATGAACAACATCCTTTAGTAACGAGTATTTTAGAGGGTTTCACAGAGATTCAACAATCTAAACAATTATAAATAACCAAAGATTTAAAATGTTTCTTCTAGGATAATCTCCTGAAAATAAATTCCATAAAATTTGAACATTTAATTCACATTTAACTGTTAACATTTAATTCTTCAAGAATATCATTCTTTCTCTTCCCTAACTAGGTCGGCACAAACGCAGCATATGCATTTGACCCTCACCATTATAAGTAAGGTTAAGAGAATTTTATTTTCAGTGTTAGTAATTCTTACTTAATACAATTTCTTTCACACATCTCTCCTACAATATAAGCTTGAATTATAGTTTAGGTATTTCAAGTTTTTAATAATCTGCCACCAGATTGTTCAAGCATGTCATTTCACTTAGGTATAAAATATTCTGATACACCAAGGCAACTTAATAACAGTTTGAAATTTTCAAAAGTAATTTTCAAGAATGCCTCTCCAATGAAAAATGGCCTGAATAAGGCCATAAAGCACGTTCACGAGAACAAGAGATTTTGGAGATATTTGGGCTAAATATTCTAAAGATTTTAGATGTGAACCAGGAAATTTGGTATTGAATTTTTCAACTATTGTGAAAATCTGACATATTCACCTAGCCTATTTTCACCACAATAATCAAAACTAAAATCACAAAGACAAATACACAGTCAACAAGCAATTTGCTACTGATTTGAAAGGAGACTTCTCGGTGGTCAAAGCTGTTCTGAACATTCCATTTCTCTCTTCTGCTCTTCTTCCCCTCCCTACCACCTGATAAATCCTATGATTCAAATTCAACACCAGCATTCATCTGCAAAGGCGGTCTTGCTTCTCTGAAATACTCATTAGGTGCATTTTTATGCACGTCCATGTGATGCATATTCCTACTGAAGCTCTTATCAACAGTACACTTATCTCTCTGCCTATCTCCATTGCAGTACAGGGTCTGGAAAACACAGGGCACGTCATCCTCTATGTATTCCCAGCATCTACAGCAGGAAATAGTACTTCTTGTGGCTCAATGATTAAATAATTAAACTTCTCAGAAATTTTTTGAAACCACAAATTACTTGTTTTTGAAAATATTTCAGTTTAAAATGTCATTAAGGGCATGTCTGCTTTCTTCATCTTTAAAACCCATCTCATGAAATCATAAAATTGCTTAACTTTAACACCACTTGGGCCAAATAGACTCTAGTAAGTGAAAACTTAAACCATTCAAAACTGGGCCTCCCTGAAAGCCTCAGGGTTAAATCTCCGCCCTATTCAATGTTATCACCTCTATGGCCTGAGTTAGATCTCTAACCAGGCAGCTAACCCACATATGATACAGCAGACATAGCCTGTCCATACCCTCTGCTCCCCTCAGCAGTGTATTTCAGTAAATCCTCCTGCTCTGCTCTCTTCTGTCTCTCTTTTTTTAAAAAGATTTATTTATTTATGCATACAAGAACTGGGTACAGGACACAGGTGTGGGGGGTGGGGTGAGAGGACCAGAGACAGTGGGAAACAGAACAGGCAGATCTACTGGAACACACTGCTGAGGGGAGCAGAAGGCGAGTCAGGAGAGGTCGGGTGCACCATGTGGGTTCCTCCCTGGCCGGCTGGGGGATTGAACTCGTGCTGCAGTGGCTGCGGACAGCTTCACAGGTTGCACAGCTTCACAGGTTGCATCTTAACCCCTTGTGCCACCAGGGAGGCCCTCTTCTGTCTCTTAAAGGTTTATAATTTTGGAAATGCTTGAATGATTTCCACTAAAATCATCTTTTCAAATTCAATATTCAGATTTACTAATCCAATAAAGCATTTACACTTAAGCTTTACATTAAAAACAACAAAATACCCAAAGCATGCACATATATGTATGACTCTTATAAGTTTAAATATGCGCATCACCTACCTGTTTGCTTATAAATTGCTAATTCCTTTACCGTTTCCAAAAACTGCCAAAATTTTTCATTACTTTCTTCTGCCACAAATTCACTATTAAAAAAATAAATAAAAGTAATCAGTTCACATATGGAAATAAAGATTTACTCTTTATTACATTACTCCAAGCTATATGCTGGAACCACAAGTATAACATTATGTTCACAAAAAACTGCATGACAAACTGCTTTTGGCTTTTCCTCATTATTAGCTATAATTATAATTTGGAGAAATATAAACTAATGAAATGAAGAGCACTACATAAAGGTAAGAAGTAAAAATTAGACTGTCTGTTGTTCATAAACAAAACTGGTCTATAAACACTTTTAAAAATCTTAATTAAAAATGTTATCTATTGTTTTTATTTAGCCACTTGTACAGACAATACTTTTATTATTTAAAACAGAAAACAGCTTAATAAAATAGTAATGGGAATCTGGTGTATCACACCAGGTCCTTGGCTATAAAGCCCAAAGAAAGTTCCATTTTCCACAGAAAAAATAGCTAGTCATTTAAAGCCTTTTGGAAATAATGAAATAAGTGAGAGATTATTCACTCATGTATAAAACAATTATTACACACCAAAAGCAAGTAGATTTAAGCTAGAAAGGAAACAGCCACCAAATTCTTCCTTGGTACCACCTTATCTTTCTCTCCAACCTTGATAAACTTTAATGCTTAATATAAATGGAAAACACTAAGGGCACTGAAGACACAAGCAAGCTAATTCCTCGGAGTACACGATGATTACTAAAGATGGAAAGGAGGTGAGAAAAACTCAATAGTTTATCAATATAAACATGACAAGCATAGGGATTTAGAGCAATCACTTCAAAACAACTCTTGCTTTTAAAGTTGCTCAACTCAATGGCTAGAAAGAGAGTAAATTATGGAAAGACTACACAGGATGTGATCTGAGGGGACAAAATCTTAACACATAACACTAACTTGCCTTGTCTGAGCAACTGTAGACATACGCAACACAGGTGAGATTTCTTTCATATCCCAGAATTTAAACATCTAAATATAATCCTTCCAAGTGATCACTTTAAGAGAGTATTCACATTTAATTTCCTCAATAAATCACAGGTGCAAGCACTTCTGGACCTCTTCTGCAGCTACTTTCAGGGGCAATTTGCCAGTAACTCATCATTAATCTTAAGGGAAGAAATATCCTTGAGAGACTATTTTTAAATCAGCTCCTCCCCTTCCAAGAGATATTACCTTTGGTCAAAGTGTTAAAAAGGGACATTGCCAAAAACCTGGAATTTCCAATTTTTCTTACCTGTCTTATATAAGCTTTAGCTCCAAATAACAAGGTTTTAAAAAAAAAAATTCTACCACACCGGGAAAAAAGTATTGCTATAGAGGGTGTTTTTATATGCACTAAGGAGCATGACAGTAATTACAAGTGGATTTCCAAAACACATTTTTTAGCAAGAGTAACACCAGGGGAATAAATGCAGTTTCAGTGTTTAAGTAACAGTACATGTGTTATAAAAATTCAGCCTCATTAGCCTATAATCATACCTAGCAAAGATCTAAATTATAAATTTCTTTAGGCAGGGAACATACCTTATTCAACTGTTTCCTATACAGTACTCAGCAAGTGTCATGCTCAAAATAGTCACTGATATTTTTAGGCTTCATTGAAAGATATATATATATATATATACACACACAAGTATATATACATATACGTACATATATTCAAACACACACACACATATAGGTAAGAGAAGTTCCCAACAATGCTTTAAAGAAAAAGAAACTTCCTAAAGAGAAATCTATCACTGAAGTTTCTATCTTCCAGTCCCCTCAAATCTTCCGAATGGACTTCAGGTCTTCCTCTCCTATATTTATTTCCCTCAACCTCTTTGAGTTTTCTAAAATTTCAATTTAAAGAAACATAAAATTCTCAACAGAGTGGATATAGAGAAACATACTTCAAGATAATAAAGTCCACATATGACAAGTCCACAGCTAGTCATTATTAGATAACATATTATAGAAAACTAAAGACTCCACCAAAAGTTTAGAATGAGTTCAGAAAAGCTAGAAGATACAAAAACAACATACAAAAATCTGTTGAATTTCCATGTACTACAAATAAAATACCAGAAAAATTAAGAAAACAATTCTCCTTAAAATTGCAGCAAAATGAATACTTCAGAGTAAATTTAACCAAGGGAGTGAGAGACCTGTAATATGAAGCCGATTAAGACACTGGAGAAAGAAACTGAAAATGACACAAATAAGTGGAAATATAGTCTGTGCTCATGTATTGAAGAAATTCCTATTATTAAAATAGTCAAATCACCCAAAACAATTTATAGATTCAATGCAATCCCTATCAAAATTCTAAAGACATTTTTCACAGAAATAAAACAATCGAAAAGTTTGTAACTGCAAAAATGCCAAATAGTCAAAGCATTCTTAAGAACAAAGCAGGAGGCATCCCTTCCCCTAATTTCAAGCTATATTACAAAGCTGCAGTTACAAGTAGCCCCCCACCTCCAATCCTGGAGGGACACTTTCCATGACCCCCAGTCCATGCCTAAAACCAGATAGGAACATACCCTATATGTGCATACCTATGGTAAAATTTAATTTATAAACTAAACACAGTAAGAGATTAACAAAAATAACTGATAATAGAACAATTATAATATACTGTAACAGAAATTATATGAAAAGATGCCCTCTCAAAATATCAATATATGTAATATTTTCAGACCATGATTGCCCAAGTGTAACTAAACCCACGCAAAATGAAACTGAGGATACAGCAGGACTACTATAATCAAAACAGTATGGTATTGGCATGAAAGGATACACAGATCAATGGACAAGAGAACCCAGAAATAAACCACCCCAAAACGGTCAACTGCTGAAACAGGAGCCAAAAGGGAAAAGGACAACGGGAAAGGGTAATTTCTTCAATAACTGGCACTGGGAAATCTGAACATGTACAAGAACACAACTGGAGGGCTATTCCACACCATGCACAGAAATAACTCAGGATGAATTAAAGACATAGTAAAGACCTGAAACCATAAAATTCCTAGGGAAAAAAAAATAGGGTAAGCTTCCTGACATCAGTCTTGGTGGTTACTTTCTGGATTTGATACCAAAAATAAAGGCAACAAAAGTAAAAATAAACAAGCAGGACTACATCAAACTATAAAGCTGCACAGCAAAGGAAACGATGAACCAACTATAAAGGTAATCTGCAGAGTGGGAGGAAATACTTGGAAATCTTTCGTCTGAGACGTGCTAATACTCAAACTATGTAGAGTTTTCATCATATAACGCAGTAGCAAAAAACCCCATCTGATTTAAAGATAGGCAAATGATCTGAATACTTTTTTTTTTTTTTTACAGAAGACATTGCTAGTCAACAGGAACACGAAAAGGTGTTGTCACTCTGGAAAATGCAAGTCAAAACCACAGTAAGACATCACCACCACCTGTTCAAATGGCCATTCGTGAAAACAGGAGAGAAAAGTTAAATTGGGGAGAAAACATGTGCACTGCTAACAGGAGTGTAAAATGGTGCAGCTACTATGGAAAACAGTCTCCAGATTCTTCAAAAAATTAAAAATAAAACTAAGATATCACAATTCCACTTCTGAGTAGGTACTGGAAGGAAACAAAAATAGTAAGTTGAAAAGAAACACGCACCCCCACATTTCAGCAACAGCTGGGATATGGATAGCCCTCGTGTCCATGGGAGTATTATTTGGCAATTTAAAAAAAATCTTGCCATTTGTGACAACAGGGATGAGCCTTTAAGCTGGGCGAAAGGAAGACAAAAACCTAAGATCTAACTTCCACATGGAAAAAACTGAATCAATCCCGAGGGCACGAATGAAGAGAACAGATGGGTGGCAGGTAATGGGGAGTCACCGTCTAACTACACTCTCACAGCACCACACAGCTGACAGTCCTGGGGCGTATTTCAAAGGTGGTAAGAGTTAAATCTTTTTTTTTTTTTTTTTTTGTGGGACCCTCGCCGGCAGCTGGGGAACGAACTGGCGCTACAGAGGCTGCGGGCAGCCTTGCAGCCCAGCGCTCAACCACTGCGCCACCAGGGGAGGCCCGGTAAGAGTTAAATCTTAAAAATCCTCACCACAAGAACTGTATTTTACCATTACCTGTAGTGATGGATAGTAACCAAACTTGCCGGTTACACACACGGACTGGAGCACCTGAAACTGACATGTTACGTACTATACCATATTTTTTTTTCAAGAAACTTTTTTAAAAGCTACATTTATTTATGCATACAAGAGCTGGGGTACAGGCCAGAGATGTTGGGGGTCAGAGGATTCCCCAAAGACAGAGTGGGGAGCAGAACAGGCAGACTGACGAAGTACACTGCTGAGGGGAGCAGCGGGCGAGTCAGGAGAGGTCTGCCGCGCCATGTGGGTATCTCCCTGGCCGGGGACTCGAACCCGCGCTATAGGGGCTACAGCCAGCCCCACAGGTCGCGCCCTAAGCCCCGAGAAGCCCTTGAGCAGCTCGTCCCGGGCAGCGCCCACGGCAGGGCGCGCGGGGCAATCTCAGGGCGCGGGGCTAAGGCAGCGGCGCGTCCCAACCGCGGGGCACCGAGTGCGCCCCCGACCGGTCACAGCTGGGGGGCCCCAGGGGCAGAGACGAGGCGCGGGACGCTGACCCCCCGCCGGCGCCCGGAGCCGGCCCCCCCTGGGGTGCGCGCCTCGACGCCCCCGAACCCCACGTTCCTCCCTCTCTCCTCCGCGCCGATCAGACCCAAACGGCGAAACAAAGGCCCCCAAAGTTTTCGACGCCGCGGGGGAGGCTCCGCTCGAAGCGCGAGGAAAGGGGGGGCGCGCGCTGGCGGCGGGGGTGCGGGCAGGGTGCGGGCAGGGTGCGGGCGGGGTGCGGGGGACGCGGGTGCGGGCGACGCGGGTGCGGGCGGCGGCGAGGGGTGCGGGCGGGGGTGGGGGCGGGGGCGCCCGGGCGGGCGGGCCGGGCCCGCGGGGTGTCCCGGCGCCGTCAGGCCCGCGCCCCCCACCCGGCCCGGGGCGCCCGGCACCCACCTGGCCTCCAGCAGCAGCGGGGTGTCCGGCCACTTCGCGGCCAAGCGGGCCGTCACCGCCCGGACGCCGAGGCCGCCCCGGCGCCCAGCAGCCACAGCCACGGCGCCGCGACGCCGAGGAGCAGCCGCCCCAGGCCCGCGGCCCCCGCCATCGCGCGGAGACGGACGGCCCCGCCCCCCCCACCGCGGCAGCCGCGGTCCCGGCGCCGCCCACTTCCGGGGGCGCGCGAGTCCGTTACTCGGGACGGGGGGCGGGGGGGGGGCAGTGGGGAGGCGTGCGCATGCGCACTCCGTCCCGGGCCGACGCCGGCCGGACCCCGAGCCCAGTTGGGGCGGGCGGCGCCCGAGGGCGGGGCGGCGGGTCTTGGGGGGCCGACCCCGCCCCCAGTCCCCACTGGGGTTGCGGCCCACCGGGGCTGGCTGGGGGTGCCAGAGTTGGGACGCGAGGGCAGGAGCCAGAGCGGCCATCACGGGCCAGACCCGAGGCCGGTGGAGGCGCCAGGGCCGCCCCCGGGACCCGCGTGCGCTGAAACGGCCGTTTTTCCAGCGTGATTGACTCGTCGCTGACGCGGCTGTCGAGTGTGGGCGTTGTTGGCGTTACACCTTCACACCTTCATGTGCGCACAGGCTCCACTCAGTTTTTGTGGGGGGTTTTGGGGTTTGCTTGTTGCATGTGGGGGTCACCTGGGGGCGCTTCCAGAAGCCGCGTGCTCGGAGCCCCGCGCACCAGGGACAGGGGCTGCTCGTGGGGCAGGGGGGAGAGTGAGGCAGCAATAATTGTTTTATAGATATTTACATCATTTTTACATCTTTTTTTTTACATAATTTTTTTACATTTATTTGCATCATTTTTCATTTTTGCACATGTATGCATTTTCATCTTGGTTATATTCCCCATACAATTGCACACCCCTTATGTTGACCCTACTCCCTCCTCCCCCACCCCCCAGTGTGCTGCAACAGCTCGAGCATACATCATCTTTCACAACCAGGGGCATCACCTGGAGGGTTTTTAAACCGCAGGGATGCTGAGTCTCATTCCAGTTTTCTGATTGGGTAGGTCAGAGATTGTGCATTTCACCCGAGCGCCCCAGGGTGCTGGCGCTGGGGCCGGGCCACGCCCTTAGCCTTTCTGCGCAGAAGGGGTGCACCCAGCAGTAGCTTCAGAAGCACCTCTGGACTCCTAAGAATACGGGTGCTGAGGCTCCAGCCCGGACCCTCTGAATCCAAATCCCCAGGGTTCACACAAGTGCCAAGTGATACTGTTAGGGGGAAGGATGTCCTGAGCAAATTCCATGCAGGCTTTGTGGACGCCACCCCCACCCCAGACCAAAGCCATCAAGACTTTGGGAAAGACAAATCCCGTCACCACCAAAGGGAAGGTGACGGGGCCCTGAGGGTGCAGTTAAGCAACCAGGTTTGGTATAAAGACCAGACACGTGGGCCTTGAGGTGTCTCTCTCTCTCTCTCTCTCTCTCTCTCTCTCTCTCTCTCTCTCTCTCTCCTCCTGGCTTCACGGCTCGCGGCCAGCTCTCAGGGTGCCATTTGGGGTTCCAGATCGGCAGATCGGATAGGACGCATTTAAAACTTTGTCTCCCGCTTTTCTCCCTGAGTTGTACATCTCCTCATTTCCCCTTCCCTTCTAAATAAACCTTTTATTAACCTTTCACGTGTGCCTGCAGTAGCGCATTGATAAGTCCTTTTAAGCGCGCGGGTGAGGACCCACAGTCAGGCACCCCGTTTTGTATCGGGGCTGCCCTATAACAATACTTGTGTGCATTAAAATTTGGGAGGAGCTGGTGTAGAGGAGTACACGTGAATTCACACAGCTGCGACTGAATCTGGATTACAACTGAAGACTGACCCCCAACCTCATGTGCTTAGGACTCAGACTCAAAGACAAAACCTTGTCACAGGTTTAGCAGTTTTTCCAGAACTCGTGATTCGTCAAATCAAAATAGCCCATTTTAATGAACTGAGCAGAGGTGAAACATCACGATTCTAGTTTCTACTCAGGAACGCTATTTTTTTCTATTCAGAAAAGCAAATTTATTATAAATATTAAAATATATGGTAAAGAGAAGCAGCAGCTGGGAAAAAATAGGGCCTGCATTGATCTATTCCTTTTGAATATTTAATCCCATGCTCTGTAGGGAACCTGGATCTCTTGAAGTTCCCCAAACACGGTCACTTCTCGTGGCCATCTCCCCTTCTTTGCTCGATGTATCCCCTTCCTTAGAAGAGACCCTGCTCTGGAAATCCTACTCAGGGCTCACTTCCTCAGTTTAGCCTTCATATCCTGATTTCTCCTACTTGGCGCGATCGAGCCCTCCTTTAAATTTCCATAAGCACTTTTTAACCGTCACATACCATTTAAGATTCTCAGTTTAGAATTTGAATACTATGCTTCTGTCTCCTACTACAAATGATATATTCCCCAAGGGCTCATGCCTTATTCATTTGTAGCATCTCTTGCAGTACCTAGCACAATACATGTTATTGGGGCTCAATAAATATTAAAGAGTCCTTATTTTATGTCTAGGTAGGCAGAAAGCTAAGGCAGATGAATGAGGTGCTTCCTTTTGATCCACAGAGCATAATCGAAAAATAGATTATGAATCTCTCACAAGTATTTGCTTTAATTAACTACTCGTTATCACTTATTTTACTGAATTTTTGACTGAAATCGTGGGGCGAAGGAAATGACATTGACAATGAATGTCTTAAATGTCAATATATCTGAAGGCAATAAATCTTTAAGAAATAATTTATAATATGGAGTCATATAAAATGCACTATTAAAGGACACTGCTAATACATGTTCATGTGCATTTCAGTGTGTTTGAGTTCAGAATAGTAAGGAATGCTACATTTCTCTTTGTAAAAGGGAATTAAATCAATTCAGGATCATTTATTTACATAATTGTTAGACATTTTAGTTTATGTAGTATATCCTGAGAAATTTAAGTGGGTTTGAAATGCTCTTCAGACTGCTCATCCTTGGGCTTGTTTGCGCATCTGCAAAACAAAAGAAGGAACAGGAGTGGATAAGCATCAAGAGGATGGGTCCATGAGCTCCACCCAAGCAGTGAGAGGCACTTTATTCCCTCCCTTGTCCTTGAAATGTACATTCCGCCCACAGTCCCCATGCTAGGAGCCCCTTCAGGGATCCAACCTTGACAGAGTAATGTGTTATTGAAATCATCGGTACTATATACATATCTGAACCTAATTAGTTTCACTCAAGTCTTATGATCTGGCAGGTAGATAAGAAAATTTACTGTCTTGCTACAGCTCAAAACTAATCTTATATGTGAGTTCCTTTGCTTAATGAAACTGCCACCTATCAATCTGGAATGGTCTGTCTGTCTCTTCCCTTGGTCTCTCCTTGTCTTCTGTGTGTGGGAGGCAGTTTTGGATTTCACCAAAGGAAGCTCCCAAAATTCCAAACCAATATTAAGGTCTCTTCTATATGTCATTTCTAAGTACAGATAGAAAAATTCAAATGCAAAAATTGAGTAACCCAGCAAAGGTCACTCAAGTTAGTGGAGCAGCAAAGAATTCCTACATCCATTATCAATAATCCTTTGGCACAGATTGGTATGAACTGAATGGAGTTCAGGGACACAATTCTGCTTAAACATTTCTTAGCAAAATGTTATTTAAAGTTATTCACATTAGAGTAATATGAATGAAAACTGATGATGATAGCAGTTTTCATTGTGTGTGGGAAAAGTGATTAATGAGTGCTTTATAATAAGGGATAGTATTTAATAGAATAAATCATCTTGAATTTTTTGGTTACAGCATGGACTATATTTATTTAATGAAAATAGGGGTGCTACGTGAGGATAAAGTTAATATGAAATTATCATGTAATATAATAAAATTTTAATTTTCTTCTCCTGAATAAGTTTCACAGCTGAAATGGCTTTTTAAAAATATGACTTTGTAGGTTTCCAGATTTCCCTTACTTTAAGAAAGACCCTATTCTTTTTTCATTTGAATTTTTGAATACACAAGGTGTCCTACTCTCCATTCCAACTGGAAAGAATTTATAGACATGGAACTTATTATAGGTCTATGTCTTAGACAAGATTATGTATACTAAAAATCATAAGCAAGTCATGGTTTAGTTTGTTTTCCTTAAGTACCTACATATTTAAACTTTATAAGTTTGTGTATTTCATTTAAAATAGATTACAAATTCCTCACAACTATCTAATGCCAGGTATGTTTGATCCAGTTTTTGTACTTAAGAAAGTAATGTCCATGTTGTGTAAGTACAAGATATTCTCTTCTTTCTTTTTGTCCTTTTGTGAATGCATCACTCAAGTTATCTTGCAATGTATCACTTAAGAGATTGAGCTAGGGTGACAATGTCAACACCCCCAAAAGAGTTGCTAAAACTAGGAAGAAATTTTTTTTTTCCATAATGCTGGAAATGAGCAGTCTGGATCTCCTACCGACAGCTCAAAGGTGACCAATGTTTGTCTTTTTGGTTTGCCTTCCTTAATGTGTGGATTTTAACCTCATCATCACATATGACATCTATGTCCCTGACCAGTACTTACATATTTGTGACAGGAGGAAGAAGAAAGAGAAAGGACCAGGGCAAAATCTGGGCACCAGTTGAGGATATATAATAAACATTCCTGGAAGCCCCATCAAATGACCTCTTGTGACCTCTTATTAATTAGCTCTCTGCCACACAGTTATCCGAGCATTCTGAGAGGCTGATAAATGTCATTGTATAGCTAGATACATTTTCCTACCTCCCCGGCAAAATCAGGATTCTGTTACTAAGGAGTCAGGCAGTAGCGTGTGGTAGAGACAGCGAGCCATGTTTGCTAAACCCATGTTTCATGGCTTCTTTCTGTGCCATATTTTGAGGCAATGAGTTGGATTAGTGTTTTAGGGAGTATGATTCTAGAAGCCAGAGGGCAGAGTGTAAGGCAACAGCAGGAAATGGATTGTTTGACTGAAGTCACTTCTAGCCTAGTATAAGTAGGCTTCAACAACAGTTGAAGTCAAATCGAAAGTCAAATTGCAATAACTTAAGAAGTGCCTTTTTTCAAAAATACTATAATTTAGAAATAACAAAATATCAAAATTTAGTGTTGATTGTTATGTTGACTCTGTTTATTTGCAGCTGCAAGTGCTAAAAATCACTGTCTAAAATTAGTTGTGTCAAGGACCATGAGCCAAGAATATTTACGTCATTTGTGAAGTTTTGGTTTAAAATCCTCCTGACCTAGCAACTCATCTTAATATAATCAAATAACAATTGGTTTCATCGCAAAAGTCTAAAATTGGTTATTCTTGCTTATCTGAAGAAAGAAAAGAGAAATTCATTTTTCCCACTTACCATTTCATCTGCTGCTATTTCAACTCCAGCATTAGGAAGAGAGATTCTGAAAGAGAGGAGAAAGAGAGAGAGGAATGCAAGGAGGGAGGGAGACCGCATGGCAGTAGGGTAAGTAGCACATGAATAGGAGATGTATGTTTTATGTACATGTGTTAGATGGAGATACTGAAGGGAGCAGTGATGTGGAGAGAGAGGTTTTACAATGTAAACCTTTTTATTTTCATTTTTGTCTCTGTTCCACTTTGGTGCTCACTACAGTTTTGTTTTCCTGCTTCTCATTTCCCCTTCCACTCTTGATCTGATATCATCCATTTTTAATTTCATGTGAATGCATTTCCAAACCTGAGCTAGAGTTGCCAGACGACTTTTTCACAGAGTCGTTTTGTCTGTTCAGAGGTCATTTACTACTCCCAGTTGCAACTGCACTGGAAAGAGAGGGAACTTGGACATGACCTGAGAGCTCACAGGTTATTCTGCTTAAACACGGTCCTGGTTTATCCATCTTTGGCTTCTGTAGCCTTCAGAGTACACCTTCCGCCCAGGGGGCCTGCTTCCTTCCCATAACTACATAATCACCCACTAGACTAGCATTTGGTCTCATGCTCCAGAGATATTTTGTTTTTTAACCATTTAACTACTTCAGAATATCTGGGTCTAATCCTTTGAAAGATAGATAAGACGTGAACCAATGTTCTCAGAAACATTGAGAAGTCTTAGAAGTTCTAGGCAATGGCCAGATATGAGTCAGAGGGCACTCAGGGCCACATGGAGAACATCAGTCTCATGGGGTGAAGTTTCCTGACAGCTGACTGCTAGGGAACTGGACTCAGCACTTAGGTATTTTAGTCTGTTATGTTAGTACAGTAAGATATGTGACTATAGTAATTAAGCTGTCAATGGAAGTACTTTATGACATTTAAAAAACAACAAAGGTCTTCTGCCCATTTTTTGACTGGATTATTTTCTTTGTTGTTGCTGAGTCTCATCAGCTCTTTGCAGATTTTTGTGATCAGTCCTTTATCATTAGTGTTGGGTGCAAAAATGTTCTCCCAGTTGGTGGGGTTTCTCTTTGTTTTTGTTATTGTCTCTTTTGCTGTGCAGAAAATGGCAGAAGAGCTAAAAAGAAACTTCTCTGAAGAGGAAATGCAAATGGCCAACAGACATATGAAAAAATGTTCAACATCACTTGTAATCAGGGAAATGCAAATCAAAACTACCATGAGATACCATCTCACACCAGTGAGAATGGCACATATTAAAAAAACTAGCAACAACAAATGTTGGCGAGGGTGTGGAGAAAAAGGAACTCTTCTGCACTGTTGGTGGGAGTGCAAACTGGTCCAACCACTATGGAGAGCGGTGTGGAGATTTCTGGACCTACTAAACATAGAGCTTCCATAGGATCCAGCAATTCCACTCCTAGGTATTTACCCAAAGGACACAGAAACATCAATTCCAAAGAACACCTGCACCCCTATGTTTATAGCAGCACTGTTTACAATAGCTAAGCTTTGGAAACAACCCAAATGCCCAAAAATAGATGACTGGATCAAGAAGATATGGTACATATATACCATGGAATATTACTCAGCATTCAAAAAAGATAAACACATGCAATTTGCAGCAACATGGATGGCGCTGGAAGGGATCATGCTCAGCGAAATAAGCCAAAAAGAAAAAGAAAAATACCGGATGGTCTCACTCATAGCAGGAATCTAGAAAACTTAAATAAGGGACCAGGAAAATGAATATAAGAAAGTGAAAATCAAAATCAACAAAAAACTATGAACCAGAGACACTTTTTGGGGGGTGGGGGCGGGAGGGGAAGGACTGGGGTCAGAATGGGGCGTTTGCAACTGTATGGGGGAATATAAAAATAAAATTTATTATTTAAATATAAAAATAAAATTTATTTTATTAAAATTTATTATTATTAAAATTTATTATTTTAATAAAATTTATTATTATTAAAATTTATTTAAAAAAATAAATAAAATAAAAAACAACAAAGGCAATAAGAACTCTAGGAACACTGATTTACGTGAATTTCTCACTGCTTTTTACTTCACTGTGTGTGCATAAAACTACATTTGATAGAAAAAAATACATAAAATGCCACCTGCATGCCTAGCACATGGTAGGTGCCAAAAAAGCAAATATATAATTAATTATTTCATCTTATGTATTAATCATATATTACAATTATATCAAAATGCATTATATTTCCCATTTTAGGTGCTTCATTCAATTATATTTAAGTTTCTTATTGTTACAACTTTAGTGTTCATGTAGAAGAATTTTTCATTCTTACAATTCCCAAACTGATGAATACATTAGTGTAGATTATTCATTAAATTCTACTGAGAAGTATAAGTCCTATCTTCACCTAAAATTTATGTTCCATGTTTCTATAATTCAAAACTTCAGAATAATTTCTGCCATTGACTTGGAAGGTATCTCCTTACCCACCAGTTTCTCTATTGTGTGGTCTGGATTTGTATTTAAGTGTTTGGCTCTCATTTTGATCTCTAATTCAGCCAGACTGAAAGAGTGGAGTAGTAACACCAGCTGACATAGAATGGCGCCCGTGTCTGCATATTGATGTTCCTGCATCAGTATATTGATGCTAGTGACACCAAAATGTCTCTCTGTCTCACTAAACTGCCTCCCATAGGCATGAGACAAGTGTGGTGACAAAGGAGAGCTGACAGGAATCATCCCCTGGAGTGGAAGGACGGTTTCCCATCGGGGGAGAGGATGTTTCACTGCGAGATAGTACATTATGGCAACGACATGAGACAAATCAATACATCCCAACTGCCCATACTAAATAAGGACGAGCATGTGATTTTCTGATAGTCATTGAGGATTTAACTATTGAGACCAGAACACTTCTCATTCTGAATGTGATTAAAAACAATATTCACCACGATGAAGACATTTGTGAAAACCCAAGGCCGTTGTTCAATCCTGATATAACTGTCTAAAGAGTTATTTTAATTAATTACCTTTTTAATGGAAGGAAAACAGCCATACAGAAAAGTGTCCACATCATACTCGATCTGCTCAATGAATTTTCGCACATCTACCACACTCATGGAAGCTCCACCAGGGCCAAAAATAGTACCTATTGGCAGAATTCCCCGTTTCCTAACAGTCCTAATGCACAGCCTCCTCCCAAAGCTAGCCACTAACCTCCATTCCTGCACAATTTGTTTTCAACCATAATTCTGTGCTACTTCTGAGAGTGGTTTAAAATGGGACAGGATTATCAGACACATGATAGGAAGATTGTTCTGTGGCAATAGGAAAGAAACTTGAGCCCCGTGCTGATTGAAACAGCCGAGATAAGAGATGGTGAAGGATCAACAAGGCAATAGAGAAGAGGTGGAAAAGAATCAGTTAACATTCCAGTCTTTCAGAATTGAATTGCTTTACAGTTAAAAGTTAGGTGAATAATTTCTGATGGACACCAGCTGGAATGGCCTCTAAGACTGACATGAAGTCATTGTGATGGGCAACAAAATGCTGATGTCATCTTTCACTTCCACGAAACCACAAATGACATTTCTCTTCTACAATTAATCAAGGACCAGTTGGACGTCATTGTCAGGGTTTTTAACACATGCATGTAGAGTTTGTAAATGCTGGGAAGGGTCCATACTAACATCGTTTTCTCACTTTGTCAACTGAGTGGATGTGGCTGCATCTGCTGAGAAGATGGAGCAGATTTGGGGAGAAAAGAGATGAGTATGGTGTTGGACATGATGAGTTTGAGGAGCAGTGTGGCAAGGAGATGGGTAGGATTCAAGCTCTAAGGATGTCAGAATGTAAATTCTCTTCATCAAGGGAAGGACACATTGAAGAACTAATAGTGACGGTAACATGGGCAAGTTGGTAAAATTTTTTTTTTGACATTTGCTGAGCTAGGGGAACTGATGAGGTTTTTATACACTGAATTTGAGGTACTTGTGAGGGATCAAAATAGAGGCTATTTTGGCTATAGGGCTCTGGACTCAAAACATTAATTTTTTAATAAATGTATATTTTTAATGAAAGAAAGCATTTAAAAGCACTCTGGAAATTACAGTGTGCTCACAGACTATTATTAGCTATTACTTTTTGTTGACTAAGTTTTAAAAGGCCCTAAAAATGACATCCAACTAGCCTGTGATTAATTGCTGGAAGAGAAACACCGTCTGTGGTTTTGTGGAGGTGAAAGAAGACATCAGCAGTTTGTCGCTGATCACAATGGCATTATGTCAGTCTCAGAGGCTATTCCAGCTAGTGTTCATCAGAAATTATTCACCTAACTTTTAACTATAAGGCAATTCAATTCTGGAAGACAGGAATGTTAATTGATTCTTTAATATTGACTATTATTAATTATGGCAATAAAAATGCCTTTAGTTAGCTAAGTAATTGATTGGCTATGGAGACTTCTAGTCCAGAGTGAAATGTTCTGTTACCAGGAAAACTCCTTTGCTATGTTACAGGAACTAGGACATTGTCTTCACCTTCATTTTCTCATTTCCATTATTCACCTGGTAACCAAGGAAGCAGCAACAAGAAATTAATGTAGTACCTGAGCTGGAAGTTCTTAGATGACACAGAAAAATATGTTTCAAATCTGAAAAATCACTGGATCTTTTAGACAAACACTGCTCTTAAAGAGTTCATTCTTCCTCTTGTAAGAGATTCTTGTCCCTTGATGCTGTAATAAATATGGTACCAAAACAAGGTAGAAGGAAAACAACCTGAGTGTCTATCAATGGGTGAATGGATAAAGAAAATGTAATGTAATAATGGAGTATTACTCACTCCTGAAAAGAAAGAACCCCTGCTATTTGTGACAGTCTGGAAGGCATGGTGCTAAATGAAATAAGACAGACACAGAGATATTAATACATCGTGGTCTCACTTACATGTGCAATTTAAAGGAAAAAAATCAAACTTAAAGAGACAAAGGAATGTGGTTGATGGGAACTGAGGAGTGGGAGACATGGGCAGAGGTTGTTAAAAGGGTAGAAACTTTCAGCTATAAGA